AAACACAAATACACACCCCTTTAAGCTAATCATTTAAGTAAAAAGCTTCCCAGTATTTTATGTCCACTATGCTACTGTTAACATTCTAGGCAAAATGCTGCCCACCCTCTCATAAATGTAAGAGAAAATTACGTTCATTATCCAAAAATCCCTGATATTCTATGCAACTTCTTATTTCCCATGTCCCGATAGTGTGTCCTCTGTGCTCTTGCTTCTGACTTTCTCATGAACACTGAAACTTAACGACAAATTGTGAAAGTAGTTTCCTCTTTTGTGACGCATATTGAAGACAAAGGCATTAAAGTCATTTCGCATTAATTTAGCAAAGCGATTTTATGCCAACATTATCACAACATACAAGTATGCCATGAACAATTACATGATTATTTCACAACTATACTACTTACTCCAATTAACAAAATATTTCTTTATAAAAAGTCTGTTCCAAAGGTTACATTCACTTCTCCATTTAATACGTAAGGTCATAGTAAATTCAAAGACAGAGAATTTCTTACCTTAGATATCTGTATTCTCCAAAAGCATACATTCCACTTCAGTTACTTTTAGTATACTCAAGAAATAGCCAAACTCCACCCGAAGTTTCATGATTTTGTTAATCAAAGGGCCTTTAACAAAGTCCAAAAATGCCACAGGAATCACCAGTGAACAAAGAACCTAGTAGGTAGGTAAATTAAGATGGAGGTGCTCAAAAGATTCTCACTCAGGAATTTAGGTTTCAGGCAGGTAATCTCTAGCTCTCCAGAGAATTATTCTAATACATCTCCAGAACTCTGAATGGGTACAGGACTAGCTCAGTATCAGTTTCCTGATCTGGCCAGACTCAGATTTGGAGAGGTTGCTGCAGCCACAATGCTCAGGCACGTGTGGCTCAGTGGCTGAGCATTGACCCGTGAGCTAGGTCACAGTTTGATTCCAGGTAAGGGCTACATGTCCCGGCCTGGGCTCAATCCCCAGTAGGGGGCGTGGCAGCTAATCGATGATTCTCTCATTGATGTTTCTCTCTACCTCTCCCTTCCTCTAAAATACACGTACACATATACATATACATATACATATATATCAAATAGATTGAGAGAAGCAACCTCAGCAGGGGCAACATTTATGTCCGCTGCCTTAAATATCACCAAACAGACCTTTGGAGTGTCTGAGCAACAATGCAGTGTTAGACTCATTTCTGGAGTCTGAACTAATTTAGCTGAGATCTTCGACAAGGCAGTATCTATGGGCTCCTCATCTATAGGTTTGTCTAAGATTTTTAAACCATAATCAGATAGGCCAGGTACATTCCTCATTAATAATTTGTTCCAGTGGAGAGACTTAAAACTGCCAATGCTTGAGCCCCATCAAGATTCACATTTGAGTTTATGATGGGGTCTGGGCATGACCCTAACTTAAGTCCTCGGGCAGTAGTAATGGGCACCCAGGGCTGAGAATCACTGGCAGAAAGAGGAGAGTTGGGTCGCATACCTAGGCCTCTTCAATATGAAGACCAGGGCTTGGAGCTAGCATTTGACTGGGAGAGTCCAAACCCCTTGTCATTAAATCAAACACTCAGGAATATAAGAGCCAAGGAAGCCAACATCACTATTATCAACACCCTACAGTGGTAAAATACTCTAAGCTCCTATGTCACCCATGTGGCTAAGCTATCTCTAGTAGGGACAAAGGGAATGCTTTCCTATGGTGGAAGCATCCAACTTGTATTCAGTTTCCTATTATATTCTTAATTTGGGACAATGAAAGGAGCCTCCATTGAGGTGTGTCCTCCCTACATTCCAATGAGAATTCAGGAAAGAGGGAAAGAAAGGAGCAGGAGTGGAGAATAGCGAAGGGGAGAGAATGTAAAGGTAGAAAGAAACTGGGGTATAAATTGGGCATGAGTGTCAGAGGAATTTCTGAAAGATACTATTTCTAAGCACTAATCACTAACTGTCAAAAAGATGATTAACACTTTGCAAGTATATTTATCCCCAATGGTCAATTACACTGGTAACTTTCTGTTAGGCCTTACTATAAAGGCCCATGGAGCATTACCTCTTCAAGGCAGAGAGTTAGTTGCAAGCCTGGATTTGAGCTCTAGCTCTGCCAACAATTACCTGTCTACAACTGATTGTGGGAGACTCTTATACTGGTCTCGGAACAAAAGAATATTCTGCCAACTTTCCCAAAACCACACAATGAAGAGATTGCCAGTGGGTACATGTTGATGGGTATTTTCCAAGTGTCATGATCACAATGGAAGATTCAACTGTTCAAACACTGCTTAGGTATAATTCAAAAAAGGGGGTAACATTTGATTTTACAATGTATTTTTATATTTACCTTTGGGTTGTATCTGATGTGGGGGGAAAAACTAAAGGACAGTCCCACCTATCTAATCTGAATGCCTTCTTTCTCTCAAGGTTTGATTCAAGGATTTTGGTAGAACAGGCTCTCAGGAGCTAAATCCAAACACACCAAGAAACAAACTTTACAATTCTTACTTGGCTACATGCATGCTGCTGCTTCAGGAAGAAGGCAGCAAAAGATAGGTTGTTAAATATTGTAACTGGTACTTAAATATTCTTTTGTATTTCCCAATCATAGGAAGAAACGATGCTTTCAGTGCTCTGCTACCTTCCTTCTAATAGGTACAAAGAAACAAGGTATATTAGAGAGATACCCAGGTGAGTGGAGAATGACAGGGATGCAAGTCATGACCTACCAAGGATCACATTTAATCTGAAACTAGGTATCTAATACTAAACTGAGCTTGTTTCCTAATGTGTAAAATGGGATTATAATCTTAACATTTCTCAGATGCTCAAATGAAATACTCTGAAGATATAGAATAATACTGTATGGCACAAAACAAGTGTTTGGCAGAGGAAGAGATGGTATCAATTTTCAGGAAACTTCTGAAATTTTATTTTTTTCTGAATCATGTCAAGGTGTGCTTTGGAGAAACCATTTTCCAGTATTAAGCAGGACTATTTAAGAATGGGTTTAGTGACTAAATATCAGGAAAATATCATTTTGTTTAATTAAAAAAATGTTTAATTTTAATGGTTAAAAAATGTTTAGCCATTGTTAACTTCAAAATTTCTCAGAGCTTTGAATGCAATATATTCAATCAGTCCCCAAGATGGAAGGACAAGTGAACAGCACTTTCCAAGCTTTCATGGTCTAGCTCTTTACATACCATTTCAGTGGAGCAATGTTCCTTTGAATGCACTTTAGGGATGGGGACACAAAAAACCACTATTACTACAGATTCCTAGTATCTGCTTAAAAACAAAATCATGACACTTTTGCTAGAAATTTTTCACATAAACATAAATATTTGTAAACCTTTTATAGGTTAATTCCAGCTCTAAAGGCCAGATCACTAACATAGCCTGTTTTCAAAAGGCCATGATGAATAACCCATCATCAGGACAGAAAAGGAGCCTTTCAAGTTTTGTAGAAGTCACTGGACTCCTTGGTCTCAAGTAAGAATATCGGTTACAATAGACAGAGCTCTTCCCTCAACGGTCCAGCAATAGTTTTCTTGTACTCTGGGGGCCAGCCAGAATGAAGACATCTGCCACACATAATTTTATTATTTGTCTAACACTGAATACCATACAAAATTGTGTACCTTAATACAGAATTTTGAGAATAAGAGGCAGCAACCTGAGATGGAAGTGGTATAAGAAAAATATAGACACCTAAAACTAATATGTTGCATCTCAATTATAATTCAATAAACAAAAGAAGGAAAACATGGTAACATTCTTAAATAGTAACATCAGCTAAAATACTGAGAAATGGTTGTAGAATGTATGTCTAACAATGCCTATTTTTATAGTGCTTACATAAATATTACAAAAGATCTGGTAGAAATTGGTGGCAATCAGAACAAGTCCTACACCAGTTCTTGAATCTTCTCTTACAGTTGGTAGGATTACAAAGTTTGGCAACAGTGTGCACAGACCAAGACTAGTCAGTCTTCTGGGCAGTGGGTAATGAACCTGTCTCACATATGAAATCTAAGAGTTCATTTTAAACTCTTCAGTAGGTGATAGAAGCTGTAGGCATGCATTTGTAAGCTGCGGGCGTGCATTTGTAAGCTGCAGGCATGTCTTTGTAAGCTATGGGCGTGCATTTGTAATCTGCGGGCATGCACGATGGTCTTCGTGGTCTCAGAGCTTCCCCTCTGACCAAACAAGATAAAAGCCCTCAAACTTGTTGCTGCACCAAAGCCAGTCTCTTCTAGGAAGAAAACAGAAAGTTCCTAGGCAAGACTGCGATAGCAGGCAATAGAAGGTAGGGAGGATAAAGCTCCTTATTAGTGAAAAGGCTACGTGAGCAACACGACATCTATGGGAAACAGGATTTGCAAACATTTTCAACTGAGACCACTCATAGTTTCTTTCTCCCATGGCTGTGGTATCGTAAAATTCTAAAGCACTTCCGCAAATTCCTGGTGCTTTTCATCTTAAAGTAGCTTACACTTATAATGCCAGTGTACTGAAAAAGTGGCTAGAACAGCCCACCTATACCTTTATCTGACATGTTCATCACTTCCTCCAATCTTTGGAAAAACAGAGTTACTTACATGGGAACTCAGATTCTCCAACAGGCATACATACTAAGTCACGGAAGTTTTCTAACAGCTCTTAGAAACTGGCAAGGGAACTTGGAAGCCCATTACTACCCTAAAGTCACGCACCTCCATACATCTTCATTGACAGACATCAACAGCAACAGCAAGTTTACACATAAAGAACAAGTGAGGCAAAGGCAAATGCAGTGTCAATTTGTCTGAGTGTAGGCAATGATGCATTGATTATACCCGTACAAACTTCAGTCCCCTTTAGTTATCCCCAACTGAGCCTTCAGGCCATACATTTTTGCTGTGAAGAATTCAGATGTAATATAGCCGATCCAGCACTCTTCACATTACTGCGTGTCAATACTGGGAGTGGTCTCTAATTAATTTAAACTGCACACAGTACTTTAGTGAAACAAGAAGTTTATTACTCCCACTCAGTAGTTCCTGGGGGCTTTGATGTTAAGTCATACATAATTCGAGAAATACCAGGAATCTTCTTAATCTCAGTGACCATCTTTAACACCACCTGTCATAAAACAAAGATTATAATTAAAAGAGCCAGAATCCATTGCATGTCTAAAAAACCCAAAGGGTTTGCATTTGCAATTTGAAACTGTAATCTATTTTTACTATTTGTTTCTATATACAAGGGATGGCCTCTGATTAATTAGGTAGTCAACCTATTTCCCTCTATAGGTTGAAGTGACTTAAAGTCAGTACTACTCAAAGTAAGGCCCACAGATAGGTGCTAGCCTATAGGTTATGTTTGTCAACAAGTGTTTAGAAACATTCATAGCAACTTCACATTGCTCTGGCATCTAAAAATAGTATTTTATGTGTTTAAGCCAATTCTTCACAAATTATCTGTGGCTGAAACAATTCTGAGACTACCAAGGTGGAGCATAATGCATTTTAATAATAACCACTGGCAAGTGTACAGAAGGAGAAAGCCTGGTCACTGAACAAAAACTTGGCAAATCTGAGTCTAACAGAAAACAGACCATAAGCCACATTTCCCAGCCCAGCTGTGCAGCTACAACCAGAACCTTGCTTTAGCTACTGGAGCTATATGGAGAGGAACCAACCAACTCTAATCTATAACTATTTAATTAGCCCAGGTTGTGGGCTCAATCCCCAGTAGGGAGCATGCAGGAGGCAGCCCATCAAAATTCTCTCTCAGAGCATGCAGGAGGCAGCCCATCAAAATTCTCTCTCATTATTGATGTTTCTATCTCTCCTTCTCCCTTCCTCTCTAAAATCATTAAAAATATATATTTTTTATTGAATTGCTGGTAGCAGAACATTAAAGAATTCTTGGGCTTCTGATCATAATGCCATCAATTCTCATCCTTATTTCCAATAAACTTTTCTCCAGTCCTCGCGTTTTCTTCTTTACTTAGAAAATATTATTTGTAAAGTAGAGGTTGGTTGGCAAAATTAAATAGTTATAGATTAGAGTTGGTTGGTTCCTCTCCATATATTATAGTAATTAGACATGTAGAGGGTTATAACACATTTAAGGCCTTTTTCTACTATAGTGTACTGAACAACCATGTGGAGATAAAAAGGCCTATCTTCTGAACAGAAAACCAAATATCAACATTGACATAGTCTATTCCACTCACCATATTATAAAATGAATGAGGTACTGAAAATACACATTAGAAGGAATACGTAAATTACCTCTACAGGGATCTCATTGCCAGGTGTTGCAGGTATACCAGTCATGAAATCACTAGTAATAAAGGTTCGAATAACCACAGATCTCTGGCATGAAGGCTGCTTCTGAAGTGGGTCCCGATCAAAATGTAATGGTGTCAAAATCACTGGCATCTGACTGATTTTTCCAGCATAACCTAGAGAAAGGAAGTTAACATATAGAGCCAATCGCCATCCATGGAAAAGCACTGCGACCTAGTTCAATAAAACCCTACAGACAATATCTGAAGTCACATACACACACCAGTTAGGACAGCCATTGAGCATTGTTTCCAGCTACTCTCACAGCATTTTAAGTAAACTCAATCACAAATACAAGTAATAAAATTTGACTGTGGTGCTATGTTATAGTGATGACACTTTATACACATGTAATATATATTTAAAGTCTATTCTTATAATTCATAGTAGTTATGATGTAGAGGCAATACAGTTAAGTTCTTGCAAGCCTCTGGTCACGTTTTCATTTTCATCAACCAACCAGTACATACCTTGTTTTATGTGTGTTTTTGTTTAAAGACACCTAATTTCATATTTATTGCAGATTAACATTGAATTAATTGCCAACAGCACTAAAATTCAGGCATGAACCTTACCTAACCTACATATTTTCTCTCTGAGACACATCACAGCCTTTCTGTGCTTAGAAATCTAGACAGCACCTCAGCACTATGCTTGGAGGACATTTTAAATAGTGAAATCACCAATGAAAAGCATGAAAATGCCAAAAATATGCCACTAAATAGCCTACAAAGAGAACAGCTGTTTACAGTATGTAGACAAAGTACTGCCTTGTTCAACATCAGTTGCAAGTTGGGCAACTCAAATTTTTTGCCACTCTGCAAATGTCTGCGCACAATCAAAGGGTGGATAAGCTTTTTATGAAGGCAGTATCATAGAAATATCCATAAAAATGAAAGCACCTAAAAATTAAAAATCTTATTATTATACTATTGTAGAAATCACAATGCCAAGCATACAAATTTTAGTTAGAGCGTGCAGTGATAAGCAAAATGAGCAACTTACCAGACTCCCTGAGAATGTTCTGAGCCTCAAAATCAGCTTGGCGTAAAGTACTGAGCACCCCTGTTGTCAAGAAAGTGGGAGTAACATCTGTAGGAGGCTCTTTAACTGGTGGGCCAAATATATAGACAACTCTAGAAGGGGGCAAGAGAAAATTAGAGAGAATTACAATTTAGTATAATAAGCAATACACAAGGAATAACCTTTTTTCCATTTACTTAGGCCCCTCTCCTACCCATTTCAAATCCCCAAATGGGTTGGTTAGAATATAAAATTATAGAGGGGTCTATGTTCTATGTACCTTCCTCCATGTGCATTCTAGAACACTAATATCTTAGAATGTGCAAAGATATATGTGATTATCATATTCCTCTTTTCATATTGTGTCTTGGGTTAGAGTGTCCCCAATGTACCATATCCACCTGGAACCTGTGGTGAAAATAGGATATTTGTAGATTTAATCAAGTTACGATAAGGATAGGGTGGCCATTAATCCAATAATTGGGTGTCTTTCTAAAAACAGAGAAATCTGGGAACGTAACACAGACAGACAGAAGAGGGAATGTGAGAATGAAGAAAGACTGGCATTAAACTGCCACAAGCCAAGGACTGCCAATAAACACCAGAAACTAGGAAGAGGTACGAAAGGATCCTCCCCTAGAGCCTTCACAGAGAGCATGGCCCTGCTGAGACCTTGATCTTCGACTTTTAGCCTCCAGAATTGTGAGAGAATAATTAATTTATCTTGTTTTAGCTTCTCTGTTTGTGGTAATATAAATCAGTAGACCCAGGAAATTAATACTCATAAGCTTGGGGAAATAATGAGTTGAACAAATAAATAAGTTTTTACCACAAAACTTCAGAAATTGTAATATGCTAATATGCACTGGAAATATCCAAGATGGGGCAATAGTGCATTTCCCAAACTTATTTGACCACTCAATCTTTTTTTCATTTGGGGCAGCATTGATCCTAAGGAAAGATTCTCCTTTCCACTTTATTAAAAATGTCACCAAAACATGGTATCCTAGTAGTTCCTTCTAAAAGGAATAACTCACTAGTGCTTTCAGTAAATATCTATTTGAAATATATGAAGATACACCACTGAAGGTATTAATAAAAGTAGGGTTTGGAACATAGCTTGAGGAAGTTAGGATCAAACAACTCAAGGGGAATCTTACCACCGTTTGGCACTGTTGTACAACTTTCACTCAGGAAAAAAGAGGCAGTCAGGGTAGAGATAGGAGTGCCACCTTGCCTCCCCATTCCAACTCTAGTCAGAGTCAACTAACTATCACTTTCTCTTAGCCCTATCTGTCTTTAGCAAAGAAAATAAATCTCTCTTTGCAATCTCCCATAGTTTAGTGATGTTTTTCTTTTCTTCTTAATATCCTACCTAATAAAGACAGAATATGCAAATTGACCATAACTCCACAACAAAGATGGCAGCACCCACAGCCAATGAGGAGGGAATATGCAAATTGACACAAGGTGAGAGGCGGAAGGTGGCTCCAGGCCAGAGTGAAGGAGGAAAGGTGGCTCCCTGCTGGAGCGAAGGCGGAAATGCGGCTCTGGGCCGGAGCCACAGGAAGGAAGGCCTATTCTCGCACAAATCTTCGTGCATCAGGCCTCTAGTGTACTAGTATAAAGCACACAGAAGAATAGAGCAACAGATCAAAACCACCACTACCACTAACTACTTGATTGCCTCCTCCAAAATATGCTGTAGCAGGAAAAAAAGTTTTGTCTCACAGAAAGTAAGACACATATCTACTTAGCAATATATTTCCTAGAGCTCATAAACAATCCTTAAAGGAAAAGGCAAGTAGACAAGAGAATGCCACAACTTGATTTTTTGGTCTAATTTTTACAAACAAGGGTGATAATAAATGTGCAAGGATAGGTAAAAGAACAAAACTGGAGCAGAGTCTCTCTGTACAAAGATTCCAAGATTTCATCATGTCAATGGGGGTGGAGATGAGGGGGGACAGACACCAAAAAAATGGGAAACAATTGTAAAATTTATTTCTAATTCCTAAAAAGGAACTTTGCAAAATCTAAAACTTGTGACCTAAGTAGATATATCTGTATCTACACTTGAGCATTTTGGTCCTTCAAAAAAACATTTTGCCCAGTTGGTGTGGCTCAGTGTTTGAGGGTCAACCCATGAACTAAGAGGTAACCAACCAGTTTGATTCCCAGTCAGGGCACACATGTCCAGGTTTTGGGCTTGATTCCCAGTTTGGGAACTGCAGAAAGCAGCCGACCGATATTTCTCTCTCATTGATATTTTATCTCTCCATCCCTCTCCCTTCCTCTCTCTCTAAAGTAGGGGTGTCGAACTCAATCAGAGAAGGGGCCAAAATCTAAAATCCAGCCTCAATCGCGGTCCGAATGGTTTACTGAACAGTCATAAACTGTCATTGTGATGGAAACACAGCGGAGTGCAGTGATGACAGCGCGGTGCGGGCCACATTGCAAGGCCTGGCGGGACGGATTTGGCCCGCAGGCCTTGTGTTTGACACATGTGCTCTAAAGGAATCAATAAAAACATGTAAAAAACAAACAAACAACAAAAAAAACTTATCCTTCTATTACACCTTATCACCTGCTCCCACTGTAGAACATACCTGTTAATGTTGTGACACATGCGAGGTATAAGTCTAGCCAGGAAAATAAGAGATTCCCAGTCAGGCTCATCTTTACTGGAGATTCCACACACATAACTGTAGGAACGACAATCACCCTGAAAGTAAAAACGCATTCAATGATTTTAATGGTTTTGCAGATGAGTGGATTAAAAAACTGTGGTACAGCTACACAATGGAATACTACACTTTTATAAAAAAGAAAGAACTTTTATTGTTTGCAACTGAATGGAACTGGAGAGCATTATGCTAAGCGAAATAAGCCAGTTGGAGAAATATAATTATCACATGACCTTACTCATATGTGGAATATAATGATCAACATAATTTGATGAACAAGCAAACCCTATAGCAAGTCATTCTTTGAGTTTTTACTTTTGGTTACAGATCACAGATGTTCCAAAACTACAAAATCTCAGCCTGAATACTGAGTTCCTATAACCTTGTTCACTCCATAAGTATTACATAAAACATTACCTTTTTACTTATTTTCATATTTCATTTTCCTAAATCATTCCTATTTGAACAATAGTGAAAAGAACATCTGCATAAAGTTATGTCAGAGAGGAATGGATTCACACAACTCACCTGCACACCCACAGTTTTAATTGGCAGCAGGAAGGCGTTCAGGGAATGCAGACTTGTAATTTGCATCAGCTTCTCCTGGTCCTCTTCTGTTGTGCAGGCTTTGACTCTTTGTAACAGCGTATGTGGCTGAAAACACACACACAGGTATTTAAGATTTCAAAAAATAAGGTACTCACTCTTTCGGTATCTATTACTATCTTATATATCTACACTTACTGTTTTATAGCAATAGATCCTATTGGGCATTTCTCTTTGATTTGTGTGTACTATGCAGTATAAACCCTAACCCTGTTTTTATTCTTTTAGAGTTCCCCTTAAATGTTATGCATAATTAGCAAGAGAATCTCTCTAACCACTTGGAAAACAATGCAAGCATCTTTAAATGCTTTAACTCCAATCAATCCCCTTGTGGTTTACATGTTATATATTATTGTTGTAATATTTTTAAAACAAACACCAATTATTACAGATCATTATTTTTATTATATATTCCATGTTTGCTTGAATGTTACCATTTTCTTTTCTGTTTACCATTTTCTTTACCATTTTTTTCTATTATTTATTTTTGTTTACCATTTTTTTCTTGCATATCATAAAAAGATCCTTTTGCTTTTCCTAAAGTCAACCCTTTAAAACAGTGGTTCTCAAAAAATAAAAAAAACAAAATAATAAAATTAATTAATTAAATTAAAATAAATTAACAGTGGTTCTCAAGCCTTGCTGTACAGTCAAATTACTTGATATAATCAGGTTCTATCTTGGATTAAATAAGAAATTCTAGAAAGGGTCCAAGAATAGTACTTCAAAAGCTCGCCCCAACTCTTGCCAGTGTGGCTCAGTTGGTTGAGTATTGTTCCATGCAACAAAAGGTCAATAGGATTTGATTCTGGGTCAAGGTACATGCCCAGATTTCCAGCTGGATCCCCAGTAAGGGGCATGTAGCAAGAGGCAGCCGGTCCATATTTCTCTCTAAAATTAATACATACTAACCCCCCCACCCCCAGAAGATTCTAATACACAGCCAAGGTAGGTGTATCTGCACTGGTGGTAGTAAACTGTTTATCTGAAAATGTCTTTATTTTGCCCTACTTTTAGAAGACAGTGTATCTGTTCACTATTGTTCACCATTATTTTCTCTTGGGACTTTGAAGTCTTCTTGCTTTTACTACAGCTTTCTGTATGATAGTGTTTCCTTTGTAGATTAAAACAACCTTTCCTCTGCAGCTGCTTTGTCTTTGGCAGGATGCAGTTTTGCTAGGTATGCCAAATCAGTATCAAATTCTTTTCATTTATCCTGATAGCAATGTGTTACCTTCTCCTGAATCTGAGGCATGGTTTCAACCACTGTGGAGAAATTCAAATACTTTTGTCTATTACCTCCTTCTGAAAGTATGTTAATGTTAACCTTTTCATTCTATCTTCTATTCATTGTTCTGATTTCTGGTAAACTTTTTAACATCTTTCTATAGCTGTTTAATTTCAGCTATTATTTTCATTTGTACAATTTAATTTTTAAAAACGGCCCAGTCATTTTTTATATTCTTATTATATACCTTATTCTTATTATCTATTGCTTCTTTTAATTTTATGTACTTTATATTATCTATCTGCTAATTGCGGTATTTGAACTGTTGGGAGGGTTTTCTGCTCGTTTCCACTAGCTCTTCATCATGGAGCTTTATTTCTATACATATTTTGTAATTTTTTTATTGTGCTCATATTTGCTAGAACTTTATGGGAATTCTTTGAAGCCTGAAGACATTCCAAAGAATAAATTAATTTACATTGCTTCCTGCCTGACACCTGGAAGCATTACCAACCAAGGTCCACTTTAAATAAGAACTGAATTATTAGCTTGCAGGTTTTCAGACAACACAGGTTATGAATTTAGGCACCAAAACTGCAGATGGACTGGAAGACTTTTCCATTCTTTCTCAATCTGGAGCTGAAATAATTCCCCTTGTTTTCTTATAACACACATAGAATATTTTAAAACATGTTTTAAGAAAGTAAATGGGACTAAGCTTCTGCACAACAAAAGAAGCCATCAACAAAACAACAAGAAAGCCCACTGCATGGGAGAACATATTTGCCAATGTTATCTATGATAAAGGTTTAATCTCCAGAATTTATAGAGAACTCACGCAACTTAACAAAAGGAAAATAAACAATCCAATCATAAAATGGGCAAAGAACCTAAGTAGATATTTTTCGAAGAGGACATATGGAAGGTCAAAAGACACAGGAAAATATGCTCAAAGTCACTAATAACCTAAGAGATGCAAGATCAAAACAACAATGAGGTACCATCTCACACCTGTCCAAATGGCTATCATCAACAAATCAACAAATGACAAGTGCTGGCAAGAATGTGGAGAAAAAGGAACCCTTGTTCATTGCTGGTGGGAAAAGCAGACTGCTGCAGCCACTGTGGAAAACAGTATTAAGTTTCCTCAAAAAGTTAAAAATGGAACTCCCATTCAACCCAGTAATTCCATTTCTAGGAATATATCACAAGAAATCAGAAACACCAATCAGAAAGGATATATGCACCCCTATGTTCATAGCAGCACAATTTACAATAACTAAGATTTGGAAACGGCCTAAGTGCTCATCAGCAGACAAGTGGATTAAAAAAGGGTGGTACATCTACACAATGGAATACTAAACAGCTATAAAAAAGACAAAACTTTTGCCATTTGCAACAGCATGGATGGACCTGGAGAGCATTATGCAAAACTAAATAAGCCAGTTGGAGAAAGATAAATATTGCATGATCTCATTTGTGGAATATAATGAACAACATAAACTGATTAACAAAAAAGATCCTGAGACAAAGAAATACCAAACAGACCATCAAACCGCAGAGGGAAGAAATCAACCAAAGGACTTGTATGCATGCACATTAGCATAACCAATGCCTGGACCCTGGGGCTGTGGGGGCTTGTCCTCAGGGGTGGGAGTGGCCAGGAAGGGGTCGATGGGGGAAAAAGGAGATTTCTATCTATATCTATCTATATAAAACCCTAATATGCAAATCGACCAAATGGGCAGAACGACTGGTCACTATGATGCTCACTGACCACTAGGAGGCAGACCCTAAATGCAGGAGCTGCTCCCAACCTTCAGGCTTCAATGAATAGCAGTGGGGGTCAGGGGTGGCGAGTGGGTGGTGCCAAACCAGCTAAGGCTGGTGCAAGCAGGGTCCCCTGATCAACCTGCTGTGGTTGGGGTTGGGGCTGCTCCAGGCCAAGGTGGGTGTGAATAGGGACCCCAATCACCCTGCTGGTCAGTCGTCCCACAAATCAATTGTGATCACGGGCCAGGCCTAGGGACCTTAACCACGCATGAATTTCATGCACCAGGCCTCTAGTATGTAATACTTTAAACATTTAAAAAACAATAAAAAGAATAATAATAATATGAAAACTTGGGGGAGGAGCAACAACAAAGCAAAAATAAATAAATAAATAAATAAATAAATAAATAAAACAAAACACCTTTTCATTTCTAGCATTTTTAAGGATTCAGGGCAACCAATCTGCTATATAACTGAAAAATAGGAGTCTGCATTTTAAGTGTTTATGTAGAATATTTTCTTCATAGTCATTCCAAAAGTTAAATTACTTTGAATTTTCAAATCATGAAACCCTAATAAAACCACTGTAAATTCTGGAGTACGATAAGAATCCATTCAATTCCTTGTACTGATTAGTTGAGCCTGTTTAAAACTCCCATCCTATATAATAAAAGGCTAATATGCAAATCACTGAATGGCAGAACAACTGGTTACTATGATGTGCACTGACCACCAGGGAGCAGACACTCAACACAGGAGCTATGGTGGTCAGTGAACTGCCACAGGGAGAACACTGCTCAGCCAGAAGCCGGGCTCATGGCTGGCAAGTGCAGTACCGGGGGTCTCTCCCACCTTTGCAGCAGTCAGACATCCCCAGAGGGCTCCCTGACTTCAAGAGGGTGCCGGCTGAGCTGAGGGGCCTCCCCCTGGGTGCATGATTTTCGTCCACCAGGCCACTAGTTATATAAATCCAACCTAATTACCTTTTTAACACTTGCAGAGAAATCAGCTACTATTTTCAAAATGTTGTTGGTTTCAGGAAAGTCCTTACAAATGTAAGGTTCTTCAGCACATATTACTCTAATTGCCAGGCCAGGACCTAAAGTGAAGAATAATAACTTAAAAATTATTTTGAAATGTTAATATAAAAATGTCCCTACTCCCAAAATATAAAACCTCTCCAAAAATTAATATCCATGTGCCACTTCAAGTTTTTTTTTCCAGTTTTACTGACTGGAAAATTTATTTTTTTTATATAATTGATATATCATCATTGTAAATAGCTTCTATTGTGAGGATCAAATAAGACAGTATTTGTAAATTTTGTAGCAAAATGACTAGAAACTAAAAAAAATGTTTGTTCCCTACACACCTTTTTCTTTCTCTCAAGTTATATTTTCCTTGTGATAATAAATTCTTTCAAAATTGTCTTAATTGATTTTTCTTCAACATGAAGGTCTAAGAACAAATCAAACAATTCAATTTCAATTTTACCTGGAAATGGATGCCTGGAAACTAACTCTTCTGGAAGTCCGAGTTCTCTGCCTAAAACTCTTACTTCATCTTTATGGAAATCTTTCAGAGGTTCTATTACTTTTCCCTATATGGGGGAAAAAACAATTAGCACAAATTAGTAACCAAAATCACATGGAAACAAAGAGTAATAAATTATTAGATTTCCCTATTGTCTTTTACCTCAGATTTAAAAATCAGTTTTTAAAACTTCATTTCCTCCTGTATGCTTATAGTCATTAGATAAACATTTCAGTGACCTTATTTCCCTTTGAAACACATTTTAAATATAAACCTTTTAAATATAAATAAATCAAAGCAAATCTTCCCCTATCTCTGATATAGTTTTCGTTAGAATACAAGGAAAATTAAATATATACTAGTGTTTCAAACTGAAACTCTCCAAATGATGCCATCAAGAAAGTAAAAAGACAACACAAAAGGTAAATCATGTATCTTTTTTTTTTTTTTTTTTTACAGAAAGGAAAGTAGAGGGATAGAGAGTTAGAAACATCAATGAGAGAGAAACATGATCAGCTGCCTCCTGCACACCCCTACTGGGGATGTGCCCACAACCAAGGTGCATGCCCTTGACCAGAATCAAACCTGGGACATTTCAGTCCGCAGGCCGACGCTCTATCCACTGAGCCAACCTGGTTTCAGCCAAATCATGTATCTTATAAAAGACTGGTAACTAGAATATATTGTATAAAGAACAATTCAATGAAAAGATAAACCAATTTTCAAAGGGGTAAAGTATCTGAATTGATATTTCTCTAAAGAAGATACACAAATAGCCAATAAGCACATGACAAGTTATTTAGCAACATTAGCTATTAGGGAAATACAAGTTAAAATCACAATGAGTTACCACTACACACTAAGAAGCACAAAATAAAGAGAGACATAATTCATAGCCATTATGATAGCTACTATCAAAACAACAGAAAATAACAAGTGTTGGCAAGATTTTGAGAAATTAGAACTCTTGGTATTGTTGATGGGAATGTAAGATGGTGTAACCACTATGAAAACATGAAGAAAGCCTCAAAATATTAAAAACTACAACTACATGATCTTGCCCAGATAAGAGTGGCTCACATGCACCAAGAGTTCACCAGTTTATTACCAGTCAGGAAGGGCACATGCCTAGGTTGCAGGCTCAATCCTCACTTGGGAGCATGCAGGAGAGCACTGATCGATGTTTCTCTTTCTCCCTCCTTCCCTCTCTTTCCACCCCCCCCCCCCAAAAAAAATATCAATAAAACATTAAAAAAAAAAATACAACTACATGATCTAGCAACCCCACTTCCTGGCATATATTCAAAAGAATTGAAAGCAGGGTCTACAAGAGATATGCCCAAACCCAGATTCATAGTATAATTTCCAATAGCCAAAAGTGGAAGTAACCAAAATGTCCACTGACAGATAGATGGATAGACAAAATGTGTACATACATACAACAGAATATTATTCAGTCTTAGAAAGGACGTCTTAACATGGATTAACCTTGAGGACCTATGGTAAGTGCAATATGCTAGTCACAAAATGATTTTACTTATATAAGCTATCTGAAGTAGTAAAATTCACTGAAACAGAAAATAGAATGGTAGTTATCAGGGGTTGGGTAGAGGGATAAAACAGTAGCTGTTGTTCAATAGGTACAGTACATTTTCAATTTTGCAACATGAAAAATTGTAGAAATCTGTTTCACAACAATGCAAATATACCTAAAATGCACACTTAAAAATGGTTAAGGGAAGAAGAAAAAGGCTTATGGGAAAGTTTCATAAGTTTTTACCTACCTCTTCTCTCAACTTCCTGATAAGCTCTGTGTCATTGTGATGGGTTTTGATGAGTTCAGCTTTGCCACTTGCAACAAGGGATGCACTTTCAATTAGATCAGGCCGTAAAGTACCTTGGGCAAGGAAAACCTCCTCAGGTTTCAGGTTCATTTCTCCAATTACTTCATTGGCAATCTATAACCAACAAGAGTAAAGGAGCCTTTTAAAAGATGACTTTTAAAAAGACAGCAAAATTTTATACTTTCAGCTAAATTTCTCAAAGTCCTTGTGCAATATTGAAAGGATGAAATGTACCAACCAGAGTTTTTTCCCCCTCTCTTATAGCCCACTTTTCTAGGTAACCTACACATCTATGAAAACATAAAAAAAAGATCATCCAACTCCCAAAATAAACTCCTTTAACAACTTATGTTCTTAAAAGAAGATGCTTTATAACATGATTCAAAAAGGTATGCAGACATTCCCACTCAAAAGCTAAAAAATAGTCAGTGAAATATTAAAAGTCTAACATCAACTGAAAATACCTATTTTTTAAAATAGTTAAATCAATAGCAAAACATAAGTATATATGTTTTTAAAATATAAAACAGTTTATACTATTAGTCTACATAGTAGTAATATACAGTAAAACTTTTATCCAAAAATAAAATAAAAATTAGTTAGTAGCAAATTTGGTCATTTGATATAATGGCAAGGAAAAGAAAATACTAAAATTCATATTAAAAATACTACATATTGAGGATATTAAAAAGGTACTTTAACAAAAGTATCCCCAATGATTTTTCTTTTCTCCTCAGGACTTGTTGTCATATTTAAGGTTTTGCTGATTCTTTTTCGTGGAGTTCTATCTTCATCTGATATTGGTAGAGTTGTTGTTCCATTGTAGAAAGAATGAGCAGCATTTATCACTGGGGAAAGAGAGCAGAAACGTGTTTTAACATTTTTAAAAAATATTTCTAAATATCATACTAACAAATCAAACTACAGAAAGAAAACCAAGATGGGTCCTTTGATCTCCCATTAATTTGCCTACATATTTCAGAACAATCAATAAACCATGATTAATGGAGTCTAAATTAACTTTTTTTTTGAATCCTGTGACATTTAATGATCTAGGCTCACGATAGCATAAATTATGCTGGTTGTTTATCCCCTACTCAGTGCATCGCCAGAACAGGCAAAAGTAACAGCAGAAAATCATGGCCCCAAGGAAATTAAAAGCAATGGTTCATGTACAGTGATCAAAGTTTTCAGAACTACATAGACTAGTCTCTTGAGAAACTGATATTTCTGAACATACATTTAGTGATTCTTGACTGTCCCTTAATATCAATATTTAAGCACAAGATTTTCAAAAACCAACTAAGATTTCTACCTCTATATATAAAAGCCTAAGCAACTGACTGACTGGTCGAAGAGATGCTATAATGAGCACTGACCACTAGGGGGCAGACACTCAACACAGGAGCCTCCCCCTGGTGGTCAGTGGGTTCCCACAGTAGGAGCACTTCTAAGCTGACTGACAGTTGCCTGAACCAGGGCTCACAGCTGGCAAGCACCACTGCAGTGGTGCAAGCCTTTCTCAATTGGGACTGACTAGGTGCAAGGCCGAGGCAGACAGGAACTGCAGGTGGCATTGGCCCAATTCCTGGCCACACCGAGGGACCCCAACAAAGCACGAATCTGTGTGCCAGGCCTCTAGTCTATACATATAAAAGACTAAGAGACCAAACGACCAGTCATTATGATGCACTGACCACCAGGGGGCAGATGCTCAATGCGGACTGCCAGGCTCATGGCTGGCAAGCACAGCTGGAATAGCATGAGCCTCTCCCACCTCCATGGCAGCGTAATCAAGCTGCGGCAGCAGCAGGTTCACTGGGGCAGGGATGAGCAGAAGCAGCACAACACCTGGCCAGGGCTCAGGCTCCTCTGGTCGCCTTCCGCTTCACGCACTACTACATCCGAGGGATCCCAGATTGCAAGAGGGCCCAGGCCAGGATGAAGGACCCCACCGATGCATGAATCCATGCATTGTGCTTCTAGTTTGGTAAAAAGAACAACTGGTGGGCTTCACTGTAAGGTAGCAAGGCAGCTTGCTTTTTCACTGAGGAACATACAGTAAATTTGTGGGTCTTTCTTTTAAGTTCTTTACTCCAGAGAAGACACCTCCACTCTCTTACCCTACAACTACTTCTGAGGTGGGATAAGAGAGTCACTATTCACTTCAAACATTTCTACTTAATCCTACTGTTTTTAATGTAAAATCTTACTTTCACTCTCAACTATGCCTGGCATTATTAATTTGCCAAAGTCCAAAGCCTCTCCTGTTTAGCCTCTCGATAAAGAATGAAGCCAGTCCTCTGATGGGGAGGGACAACAGCAGTTTTGTTCCCACATTAAGGAAAAGAATTTGCTTCCCAGATTTCCAACCAATCTATTTTAGGCTCACCCAGAGAACCAGGAACCACAAGGAAGCCAATGCTTCTAATTACTGAGTCTCCCCGGAAGTATTGCTTTTTGTTGGCTTTCTCCCTTCATCCCCATACCAAGGTTTTAGAGTCCTTTATTCTACTATGTCAGTTACCAGGAACAATGCAATTTTTGTCGGGCTAAAAATTTTTATAATTTGGAAGCCTCTTTCAAGAAATAGAATTGAGTCCTAGCTGGTTTGGCTAGGTGGATATAGCGTTGACCTGTGGACTGAAGAGTTCCAGTTTCAATTCCTGTCAGGGGCACATGCCTGGGTTGCAGGCTTGATCCCCAGTAGGGGGAGTGCAGGAGGCAGCCGATCAATGATTCTCATTATTGATGTTTCTCTTTCTCTCCCCCTTACTTCCTCTGTGAAATCAATAAAAAATAACAAGAAAATTTTTTTTTAAAAAAACCAAAACAAAACAGAAGGGTTTATACATGAAAAAAGAAAAGAAATAGAATTGACAAATTAAGTATTTAAAAAGATCACAAGGCAATACTAGGGGAGCTAACATGAAATGAAATATATAAAACATATGTACAGGCATACCTCCCTTTGTGCTTCACTTTATTGCTTCTCCCAGATGTTGTTTTGTGTTTGTTTTTTTTACAAATTGAAGGCAAGACCCACCACTAGCAATAGATCTTACTCAACTTTTTCTTAGCCTAATCCCAAAATGCCCACAGCTACTCAACCACCACCCAACAAAGGTCAAGTTAGAGAAAAGAGTGTTAACTTAATTAACTGGAAGTTATTAAAATTTCTTACTTTGCAAATTTCGTAAAAACATATGACCATCTGAAGATAATACTAGGGTCCTTCCCAGGATTTTGGAAAAGGTTTGACTTGTAAAGGGTCATGAAGTTTAAACTTTATTAGCTTAGAGACAATCTGCTTTATCAATCTGCTTTCCACTTTCCAACATTTTGTTGAAACCTTTAGTCCCATATTCCCTTCTCTGTTCTTTCTCCTTGTGACATTACACTTGTTTTATACTCATACTGTCATTTTAGTGAAGTTTTGAAAAGAGAAATAGACCCATCTTCACAACAAGTTTAATTACAAGGCTTCATTTTTATATTCAATCTTTGGGCAATGATTTCAAATAACTCCGTAATATATATGGTTTGCATCATTAAACTACTAACATGATTTCACTATAACTACTGATTGCATCTTGTTGGTTTTTGTTTTCATTTTAAGATTTCCACAAATGTAAATATAGTTATGGCCTAAGAAGTTGATTAGTTGCCTTTAAAAAAAAGTGACTGTAAACTTTTCAATACTCTTCTTTATATAAATAAGCCTTACTGTTTGCAAAATAAACTGTATAGACATACCTTTATAGGAAGGCTTGGTTATTCTCATGCATAAATAGTATTATGGATGGGAAAAGATAACTTAAAAAAAAGAAACAGAATGTGTAGAAGAAAATGATGACAACTGGAAAATGGTAGATTTTTTATCTATATATAATAGGAGTAAGCAACAGTTTTAAAATTTATTCTGGTATTCCCTCCTGAACCAGAAAAAATTATAAAAATAAAAATAAACATTTTCAACCCTGAGATTAATGGGAAAACTGAACTTGGTTAAGACAATGTGCTTACTTAGACCATAGGCTAGATTTGATTAAAAAGTCCTGACGCACAAATTAACTTTTCTGGGAGTCATCAATACCTTTGACCTGAATTCCAAGTTTTTTGAGGGCCTCTTCTACCGACTGGCTTTCTCGTTTTCTCATAAAGCCATTATCAATGTGCACAGCAATGATTTGATCTTGGTTCAAAGCACGATTCAGCAAAGCTGTACAAACTGTTGAGTCTACACCACCACTGAGTAAAACCTACAGGGTGAAATGTAAAAGATAAAAATCAGTTTATCGTTACCTAAGACATTGTTATCACAGGAATGTATGGAACTGTAAAAGCTCTCTCAAACAGTACAACTCACAAAGCGCATGAGCCCAGGCAACACTGAAGGGCTATAATGTTGAGGAAGCCAGCCCTTAGTTCTAGAATTATTACATAAATTTGTAGACTTTCAGATGTAAATTGCTTACCAAAACTTTTGATGTGCCTACTCTCTCTTTGATCTCTCGAATGCACTCCAGTTCTCTGTTCTGCACAGTGAAGGTCCCACTGCACCCAGCTATATCATAGAGGAAGTTCTTCAGTACTGCTTTCCCATTTTCTGTAAGGCCAACTTCAGGGTGGAACTGTACTCCATATAATTTTTTAGATTCATTTGCTATACCTTTACAGAAAAAATAATCACAAATTCAATTTTTTTCATGCTGAAAAGACTCCACCAGTATTTATAATAATTCCTAATTATTTCTTCCTCAATAAATGTGAAAATTGATATGAGTTAGCTGGATTTTAAGCAACAGGAAAAAATAATAGAAATTCTATTATCATGATCTTTCTTTATAAAAGTCTTTCCTTATGCAGCAATGAGTGAACTATGTGATAATAAAATAAGTCCTACAGAGATTATTTAATAGTAACCTCACTTCTCCACATAGATTGCTTCAATATCTTGACTATTAAATACAATAACTCAATTTAGGTTCTTGGCTTCCATCTAGAATATGCAGGTACCAATTTTCTCTCTGAGAAGAACCTAATATATTAGACCAGACAGAATACTTCAAGTGTACCATTAACCACAAATATAACTTCACTAACTGGACTAATGTGCTTCTGACAATTACTGATTAACTACTAGGCAGCAGATGTTAGACTATAGATATTTCACATGTGCATGTATTACCCACTTATGGCTCTGAGATATCAAGAAACTTGCCTGAACTCACAACTAGTTACGTAGTTAAAACAGGCCCGGAAGACTCCGAAATTCATACTCATCTACTATACCAAAGTACCTCACACTTTCTTTACTTAACTTCAAAGACACTACTTTCGCGATTCACTTAATTATTTCACTGTTAGTTCTGAATCTTTTGTTAGTTCCTCTTTATCTTATCCCTCACCACACATGCAATTGCCCACTACTCAGCCTTTAAATCTCTTCTCTGTACATTCTGAGTGATGTCACTCTTATGACCTTAAATTCTACCCAAATTTGTTGGTACACTCCCAAATTTGTACCTCCAGCCCAGTTCTTTCCTCTCCAGTCCAGACTCATATATAAAACTGTCTACTCATACCTACATTTTAATTTTTAATAAGGCATCTTTAATTAAATATGCAAACCCAAACTTATACAATCTTCCCCATCAGGTAAACAGAAATGCCATGACCCTACCCTCATCCCCACTCCACATGCAATCCCAAAAGTAAGTCCTCTCCCTTCAAAACGTGTCAGAATCCAGTCCAACTTCCATTTCCAGTCTGAAATATAAAAAGCTAAGATGCCACTATGTCCTAACAAGAAGTAAAAAGCTGACTACTGCCCTTAGAGAGACTGACAGTGAATACAGAGAATGTCAACTTAACATAGCAGAAACCCATGGGTGCAAACTGCTGATGTAGGAAACCTGAACGCAACTGGTGAATTGCTAGAGGCTCAGCAAGAACAAATCTGAAAAACAAAAACTCCAGAAGGACACAGTCATCGGGGTATCCCACAAATTTTGTGAATTTTATGCCAAGCAGGATTGGGTAAATTTTTCCTAGAAAGGGCCAGAGTACTAAGTCTTTTTAGCCTTTGTAGGCCTTACTGTCACTGAAGCAACTAAAAGCATCAATAGGCAATACCTTAAGAATTGGATGCTGCTGTGTTCCAATAAAACTTTATTTGTGAACACTGATATCTGAATTTCAGTTAATTTTCACATTATAAAATATAATTCTCTTTAAAAAAATTTTCTAACCATTTGAAAACATAAAAACCGATCTTAACTTGCAGGTTATAAAAAACAGGCAGTGAGCCCAATTTGGCAGGAGGCTGTAGTTTGCTGATTCCTTGACTACAGGACAAAGTCCAAGTCCTTTATATTAAACAAAGAGTGGTCGTTAAATAGCTACTGTCCAATTAATTTTACTTCTCATCTCCCTTTCATTCTCTATTCTAGCCATTCAAGCTAGCGTGATAACCAAAATAAACCATGTTCTCACCCCAGGTCTATGCAAAAAACCTGAAAGTATCAACAATAAAAAACATTCCTGAATAATAACTGATTACAGCAGGACTGTAGGATACAGTTAATACCAAAAGTTCATTTTTTCTTATATACCAGCAGTGAAGAACAACAACTTGAAATTTAAAACACAATTAACACCCCCACAAAAATGAAATACTTAGGTATTAATCTAATAAAATATGTACAAGATCTCTATAAGACCCCAATTACTCCCTATCACTGCCACACTGTTCCTTACACCATTGTCTCCTTTTCTGATTTACTACCATAGATTTCTAGTGAGCCTCCCCGCTTCCACATTTGACTGTCTTTTCTCCTCATTATAGTCATGATAATCCTGAAATCAGATCACATCTCTCCTTAACCCCACCTCACTATGAGTAAAGCAAATGGTTTCATAATGGCCTCAAAGGTCCTGTGTTCTGGTCCCCAGTAACCACTCTGGCCTCAACTACTAACACTCTCCCCATGTTTACCCAATTCTAACCAGTCTCCTTGCTGTTCCTCAAACATGGTCCCATCTCAGAAGCTTTGTACTGCCCTTTCCTTTCTCCCCAAATATCCAGAAGGGTCTGTACTTCCTTCCTTCATGTCCAATATCATCTTACAGAAATACCTTCCCTGAATATCTAATAAAACAACCTTAATCACACATGTTCTACAACACTCCTTTCTTCACCTATTTTTTCAATGCACTTAATAACCAATACAGTCTGTTTAGTCTGTTCCTCCCCTCCATTAGAAAGTAAACAAATATTTTGTCCATTTTGTTCATTACTGTATCTTGGCACCTAGAACTGTTTATGGTACATAGCAGATACTCAAATATTTGCTGAATGAATAAAAAACATAAGCCACCTACCACTGTTATCTTTTACATAAAATAAAAACATCACTATAAAAACCATTCTTGATCATTCTTATGCTAGTATATTATCCTGATAAGTAACTGAGGGCAGTTTACTCAATTCATTTTAGCAATGACAAATCTTTTTTCAACTTATTTAGATATGGCATTTCAAACAAAAAAAACTTATTAATTAACCCACTTTTTTCTTTTTTTCCAGAATTACTGGTAACTTGTTTACATTATAGTTATCAAGTAAGCAAGTGATTACAAACAGCCAGAAAAGCAAAATCCTCTTATTCAAAATAAAATCCTCTTATTCAAAAAAAAAAAAAACAGAACAAAAACTGTTTCAGAGTATGGGTTGACAAGCTTTCTACAGAGAACTAGATAGTAAAAATGTTAGGAATACACATGTATAGTCTATTTCTTTTATTATAACCCTTTAATAAGGTAAAAATCATCCTTAGTTCCACATACAAAACAGGACTACTTGCTGGATTTGACCCAGTGGGAAACCCTGGTTCAGAGAAATTCTGTTTTGCAGCCATCCAAGATACATGCCTACGCATACCTAAGAAAGGCATTTAAAAAGGTAATTATAAAAATAGCATTCTAGAAAGATGGACAGTTCTCAAATTTTTCCTGAGCTATAAAAGTATAGCTGCTGTTTTATATGTGAAAAACTCGTTAGGATAAACATTCTTAAAAGTATTTCAGAGCAAACCAGTGACTTCCAGATAAGCCTTCTAATATTAAATTCCCTTCACAAATTAAAGAATGATCAATCCTATGACATCTAAGTTATCTTTTAAAAATAAGAAAAATCAAAAACAGTATCTCATAAGAAACATTTTAAATAAAATTTTTTAAATCTGCAAAATTTTAGAATTTTCACCTGCCACGATGTTCCCAGAACGTGCCACAACCTTGAATCCATCAGCTACTTTATCTACACTATCTCCATGAGTAAGCAAAACAATTTCTTCCTTCTGAAGGCCCCTAAAGACACAAAAAGGAAAATATACCACATAAATATGTTAATTAAAGACATGATTAATGGGTTGAGATATAATTAACTTAAACATCTTGCAAATTTAAGGTGCACCACGTAATTATATATACAGTGAAACAACCACAGTAAGGTTAGTTAACACATCCATCACTTCACGTAGTTACCATTTTTTTGTGTGTGTGGTGAGAACATTTAAGATGTACTCTCTTAGCAACTTTCACTTATACAATACAGTTTTAACTGTAGTCACCATGCTGTACATAACCGGAAATTTTTTCTTTTACTTATGAAATTACAGTTTGATCAGGAAAATAAAAATAAGATGTAATAGTGCAACATTGCTAGAATTCAAATTTTTTCTACCCCTTATTTTAAAAAGCCAATAAAAGAATATTAAATGTAGGTCAAAAAATGGGCTTAACCTCAAACGTGGAAAAAAACAAAAAAAGAAAGCAAGTGACTAACACTTAAATTTTCTGGTCTTTCAGGAAACTGAATGAAAACTCAGCAATTTATTTATTTTTTTTTTTTTAGTAAAGCAGAGATAAATAATTCTAGGAAGCTAGTGAATTCACCAATTTTAAAGTCATACACCTAATATATTATTATGTAGCAATAAAATCAGTGAATAAAGTCACACTATTAAAAAACAGCATACCAGGTACAGTTATGCTCAATGTAGATAAAGTTATGGGGAAAACAAAGCACATATTAAGAAATGAGTCCAACAAATAGGTGGATTGCTAAGTAACAACAAGAATGTGGTGGGGAAAGGTATATAAATGCATTTGGTAGATGTGGGACAGTTTACAACGGGATCCATCTGCCACATCTGGCATACATGTTTAGAATCACACTCTACATCAAAGAGTGATGAGGGAAAACTACAAATGTTGGAATCACAATATGCAATCCCAAATAGGTGTCCAAGACTGCAGAGGTGTTTTTAAATTACATGGTAAGTGCTTTCTTTACTCCTAGTATACATCACCCCCTCCTCTGCCAAGCAATTGAAAAATAAATACTATGACAATTATACCTTTATCCAATACTGAATTATAGTCTTCAATTTTGAAGCATAACAATCACAACTTTAAATTAACCTACTACTATTCTTATTCATGTAAAAAAAACTGTAATACCTGAATAATGAGCATGTGTTATCCATGGTAATACTGAAGACTCCATCTTCTCTAACATTTTTTTTGTGCACAGTACCTCCAAATACTTTATTCATCATCTGTTCAAAGATAAAATGTTAATATAAATCAAAAGAAAACTATTTCAATAGCTACTTTCTTAATTACCCTCATTTCATAATTATATTCTTTATTTTCAGGATATATTAGGTCTGTGACCAAAAAATAAAAAAAAGGAGTTTGATAAATGTAGATATCTTGGCATTATTATATAATTATACAGTTAATTAAGAGAGACAGTTATAAAACAAAACTAGATTAAAAATCTGACCTGAGGTTAATTTCCATTAAACACCGGCAGATTTTCTATTTAGTGTACTTTAATTAATTCATCTGTTAAAAGTAAATTTCTCTAATACTTTCATCTGAGTTCAATTTAAAAAGTAATATGAGCTTAGAAAAGGCTATAGTAAACAACAGAAGATTTGTGGTATTAAAATTAGATACGTATAAATTCCTCCAACCTGTTTAATCTGTGGCCCCAAAGGAACAATCTGAAAGCTGGCAGAAGATTGTGCTATGGAGATAGGATAAGCAAAAAATCTGGTCTTTTAATTAAACTCATTTGTTCAAAACCCATATACTAGTATAGACTTTTATTTTAAACTATAGGCCCTGTGCACAAATTCAGCCTAGCATGCGGGACTGGGCCAAAACTGACTCTCCAACATCCTTCTAGGAGTCCTGGATTGTGAGAGGGTGTAGGCCAAGCCAAAGGACCCTACAGATGCATGATCGAGGCCAGGGAGGGATGCAGGAGGTTGTCTAGTGGAAGAGGGACAGTGGGATGGCTCCAAGGATGTCCTATCTCGGCCAGACCCCAGTAGCAAGCTAACCTACCTGTTGGAGTGTCTACCCCCTGGTGGTCAGTGCAATGTCATAGCAAACAGTTGAGCAACCTTAGCATGTCATTAGCATATCATGCTTTGATTGATTGAACCAACTGGTGGACTGGATACTTAGCATATTAGGCTTTTATTATATAGGAGGTTCTCTTCATCCTGCCCTATCCTGAATGATCAAGATAACCAAAGCTGTTGGAATTCTATACAATTTTAAAGTCCATAAAGTTTATAAAGCCAATGGCTTGCAGTAAAGATTAAAGCTATGTCACCTATTCAGAAGGCTTTCATACTTATTTTTTGTTCCTGACTATACAACTTAAGGTTGAAAGTGCAAGGAGTTGAGGCCCTGACCAAGTAGCTCAATTGGTTAGAACATCCTCTCCATAAATCAAGATTGTGGGTTGTATCTCCAGTCAGGGCAACATACAAACAACCAACCAGCGAAAACATAAGTGGGTGGGGCAGCAAGTCAATCTCTTTCTCTCTCTCTCTCTCTCTCTCTCTCTCTCTCTCTCTCTCTCTCTCTCTCTCTGAAATCAGTAAACAAAAACAAAACAGTGGAATAACAAATTGATGTTTCTCCCTCTCTCAAATCAATAAATTTTTTTTAAAGTGCAACGAGTTGAAGAACCAGCTCCCACCCATGTACCAGGCCTCTATCCTATGTGTTTGTGGGAGATGGGGATAATTTTTTGTGTAATAAAGATAATTTGCTATCTTATTAAATTTTTGTTTAACATTCTATTTTAAATTAAAGAAATTGTTTTCAGTGTGGGTTTCTAAAAATCCCAAAGTCCTAAATGCCTCAAAGAAATCCCTGTAGGAATCTAGGTCTACTACCCCCATCAGATCAGCCCCTATTTTATCTACCTTATATGCCAAAGCTTTAAATATTAGGTTTAGAACAAAGACAGAAATTCTGTAAATAAAAATAATTTGACAAAACCTGTGGAAGTGTGTAAGAAAATCAAGTGCTTGTAATAAAGATGTTTCTTAGAACTCCAAAAGAACAACAATAAAAAAAAAACCCCAATGAAATTATAAAGAATGAAAAATCACACATTCTAGAAATTATCCAATAAAAGAATAATATGCAAATTGACCATACCTCTTCCACACCCACAAGCCAATCAGGAGTAGATATGCAAATAAACCCAACCAAGATGGTTGAGGCCATGGAAAGCAGGAGGGAGGCTTGGGTTTCCCGGGCGATGGAGTAAGCCAACCTTTCGGCCTGCCCTTGACAGACCAAGCCTCCACTGAAGGTTACAAAGTGTCAATTATAGAAAATAAATAAATCCCAACAAAAATGGCTGCTGCCACAGAGTGAGCAGGAGATTTGCGTTTCCCCTGCAATGGAGAAAGGCAAGCTTTCTGTACATCTGGCCAGCCTAGGCCCCCACTCAAGGTTACAAAGTTTCTATTATAGAAGATAAATAAATCCCAACAGAAATGGCTGCCACCATGGAGGGAGCAAAAGGCTTGGCTCTGCTCCAGGCTACAAAGTTTCAACTGTAGAACCCAGAAACCAGGGCCTCAGTTTGGGTCGCCGGAAGGCGTGGCTGGCCTGCAAACCACCACAGGCCCCTCACCCAGGCCGCCCCACAGGCACCCTCACCCTGGCCCAGGACACCCTCTGGGCAAACCAGCTGGTTCCCACCTGTGCACCAGGCCTCTATCCTATCTAATAAAAAAGTAATATGCAGCCGAAACCAGTTTGGCTCAGTGGTGGAGCGTCAGTCTGCAGACTGAAAGGTCCTGGGTTCGATTCCGGTCAAGGGCATGTATATTGGTTGTGGCCACATCCCCGGTGGGGGGTATGCAGGAGGCGGCTGGTCAATGTTTCTCTCTCATTAACATTTCTAGCTCTCTATCTCTCTCCCTTCCTCCCTGTAAAGGATCAATAAAACATAAAAAAATAAGAAATAAAAAATAAAAAAAATAAAGTAATATGCAAAGTAACCATCACTCCAACACACAAGATGGCTGCTCCCATGTGGTCAAAGATGGATGCCCCCATGTGGACACAAGATGGCCACCACAAGATGGCCAGTAAGAGAGGTCAGTTGGGAGAGTCCAGGCCTGCAAGAAAGGGCAGTTGGAAAGGACCAGGCTGGCAGGGAAGGGCAGTTAGGGGTGACCAGGCCGGCAGAGGAAGAGCCTCTACCACTTAAATTAAGGAAGCATTTTCCAGATCAATTTTACTATAAGTGGGTGGGGGGAAAATTCCTGCAAGACTCTTCGTTACAAGATGTTAAAATGCCTCTCAGTATACCAAAATCCTTTTAACTTAATTATAAGTTGTGCTATATAATTAATATTGACTACTCTGGCAAAGGAAATCAATAAATTACATCCTGGGGCAAAGGTATATTTTTAAAAAGTCAGTCAATTTCCAATGTTTAATGCAATTAGGATACAGGCTCTTCTAAAAAATATATCTTTTGAATATTAAGTGAGAAAACCTAAAAATAAGTTACTTATTATCCAAGTCAAATTCATAATCACCATTTGGCTTTTCAGAAAACATTAACAGGGGAAAACAAGCCTTTTGCTACACAATGCTTGCTTATTTGCCTATAGAAGAAAATATCTACTGTAGAGTTTTTACTTTGTATTTGACATATTCTTAGTGATCAGTATTTCTTTTAAATCAAAGTGGATAACCATAATAATTAGCAACTAACGAAGTCTGGTAAAGCTGTTTTCAAGACCAGTGATTATTTTTTAATATATTTTATTGATTTTTTATAGAGATTAAGGTAGAGGGATAGAGAGCTAGAAACATCAATGAGAGAGAAACATCGATCAGCTGCCTCCTGCACACCCCCCACAGGTGACGTGTCCGCAACCAAGGTACATGTCCTTGACCAGAATCGAACCCGGGACCTTTCAGTCCGCAGGCCGAGGCTCTATCCACTGAGCAAACCAGTTTCGGCAAAACCAGTGATTTTTAATAACAGTTCTTGTATCTAAAATAGAAATAATAAAATATTTATTCACATTTGTATATAAACACTAGAGGCCCAATGCACGGATGTGTGCACAGTGGGGTCCCTCAGCCTGGCCTGCGCCTCTTGCAATCTGGGTCCCCAGGGGGATGTTAGACTGCCGGTTTCTGTTGGATCCCTGGCCTGCGGGATCCAGGCGAACGAAACCAGCAGTCCAAAGCCGCCTGCCACTCTTCCTGGCATTCCTGCCCTGTTGCACCTGTTGCAGGCTCACACCCAGTCAGTCACAGTTGAGAGAGGCTTGCGCTGCCACAATGGCCGTGAGCCCTGCATCTGGCTGTCCGTTGGTCAGCTGGACAGTGCTCACACTTTGGGAGCACACTGACCACCAGGGGACAGCTCCTGCATTGAGCACCTGTCCCCTGATGGTCAGTGCATGTCATAGCAACTGGTTGTTCAGTTACTTAGGTTTTGTTTTGTTTTTGTTTTTAATATATTTGATTGAGTTTTTACAGAGAGGAAGAGCGAGGGATAGAAAGCTAGAAACATCAGTGAGAGAGAAACATTGATCAGCTGCCTCTTGCACAGCCCCTACTGGGGATATGCCCGCAACCAAGGTACATGCCCTTGACCAGAATTGAACCTGGGACCTTTCAGTCCACAGGCAGACACTCTATCCACTGAGCCAAACCAGTTCCAGCTGCTTAGGTTTTTATATATAGACTAGCACCCGGTGCAAGAAATTGTGCACTGGGGAGCAGAGGGGGGGGGGAGGTGTGTGTCTCAGCCCAGCCTGCATCCTCTCCAATCCAGGACCTCTCAGGGGATGTCCAATTGCCTCTCACAATCCAGAATAGTTTGCTCCTAACCACTCACCTGCCTGCCTGCCTGATTGTCCCTAAGCACCTCTGCCTAGCTGATTGTCCCTAACTGGCCTGATCACCCGAACAGCCTCTGCCTCACCCCACACCTGGGACCTGGGCTTCCCTCCCTCTGGCCAGCTACAGGTACCCAAGACCCGGGGTGGCTTCCCCCGAGCTGGCTGTAACCGCAGGTAAACTGTGGGCGGGTGGCTGTGCCCGAGCCACAGAGGCAAAGGCTGGCACCACGGACCGTGGGGTGGGCTGCTTATCCCTCTCCTGGCCGCAGTGGCGGCTCTGGTGCCCGGACCGTGCGGCGGGAGGCTTCTCCCTACCCTGGGATGCAGATGCAGCCACTGGGCGGGTGGCTTGTTCCTCTCCCGGGCCGCAGCCTGGTCGATCCCCATTCCTCTCTCACCAGGTCATTTGTGCCTGGCTGGTTCCAATTCCTATCTCCCCATTGTTGAGTGTCTGAGCCTTAACGGCGTGAGGGTGTGACAACCATTTGCATATTAGCTCTATCATATAGGGCAGATTGATTTATATATCTTTCCTTATATTTCTTTGGTAACTCCAGAGTCAGCTAGAAGAAAATATATATTGAGCCATGACTGGTTTGGCTCAATGGATAGAGCGTTGGCTTGGGGACTGAAGGGTCCCGGGCTCGATTCCGGTCAAGGGCATGTACCTTGGTTGCGGGCATATCCCCAGTTGGGGGTGTGCAAGAGGCAGCTGATCGAGGACTCTCTCTCTTCGATGTTTCTAACTCTCTATCTCTCTCCCTTCCTCTCTATACAAAATCAATAAAATATATTTTTTTAAAAAAAAAAAAAAAAGAAAAAAAGAAAATATATTGATCTGTTCACTTTCTACCTTTTAAACAGCTTTCCCAATACAATATTCATATTAAAGCACAACAGTTCCAATCAGACTGGATTTTTTGCCCACTTACAAAAATTTAAATTATACTCAATACAAGGACTTAAAACAACTCAGCCATTGGGGAAAAGTAAACATCTTTATCAAGCCATTTATTCAAGAAATTAAAAATTAACAGATAATTAATAATCAATTAGGGAGGACCAGAATATTATGAGGAAATTACAAAGCTGATTTTTAATTAACTCCAATTCCATTTTGGTCAAGTAGGATCTCACAATTATATTAATTCCACTTGTATTCTGACCCTATCCTCCCTTCCACTTTAGTATGTGCTATGCCAGATGTTGGTCAAAAGGGAAAAGAGGTCAAGACAAATCACAAACCAATTAATACACAACCACTATATTTATTTGGCTATTCTTATCATGGCAGAAAATTCTGCATTAAAAAAATAAGTATATTGCTTCTGACACTAGCTAGAAAAGGCAAAAATACCATAAATATCAGTTATTAATACTGTGTTACTCAGGGAATACTTTCCCATCTACTGTATTTTTCGGACCATAAGACGCACTTTTTTCCCCCCAGAAGTGGGGGGAAAAAGTCCCTGCGTCTTATGGTCCAAATATAGCCTACACATATACTTTTAAAAAAAAGTTCTTTTACTTGCCCGGCTCTGTGTGGTCTGTGTGTGCTTGCCCAGCTCTAAAATGGTTCTAAACGCTGCTGTTTACTTTACAGGGTTGATTACATGTATTTATGACTGTGATGTTGGGTTTTAATGCACATAAAATATTTTAGGACACTATTTGTTTCAGAATGTTTTTTTCTTCATTTCCCTTCTCTAAAAACTGGTGCGTCTTATGGTCCGAAAAATACGGTAATTCAATTTTGAGATGATCTGTTAAATAAAATGCATTCTTAAAATTATCTTAACTGGAAAGTCATTTTGCTTATCACCAGTGATAACTTTTCTTAAATGTATTTATTTATATTCCCACCTCCTCGGTAAATAGATCTTATTGAAGCAATCATCTATATACTGTATATAAAACCCTAATATGCAAATAGGCCAAATGGCAAAACAACCAAACAACCGGTCGCTATGACATGCGCTGACCATCAGAGAGCGTTTGCAGACCATGGCAGGTATTGGCAGCAGGTGGTAGAGCACCGAACATGGTGGGTGTCGGCCATGGCAGGATGGTGGAGCAGGTGAATAGGTGCACCTGTCCAAGGGGAAGCGCTGGTCGCTGTCACTGGGGCTAGCCTCTGCTGGTTACTGAAAGTTACTTGCTCCTGTGCATCATGGTCCCACCCGGTGCTCAAACCTGCTGCAGGTGCCAGCCCCACTCGCACCTGTGGCTGGTGCCAGAGCAGCCACTCACAGCTGCTCACACCCGCTGCCAAAGCTTGGCACCAGCCCCAATTGCTCGGCACTATCAGCGGGTGTAAATAGCAGCTACTGGCCCCAATCACCCCTTAGGGCTTCTCCACCTCACCCTGCTCTGAGGCTGATTGTGGCTGGCAGCCACTTCTCGCACCTGCTGCTGGCATCAGCCCCAATCGCTCAACACTGTCAGTGGGTGCAAGTGTGGCCTCTGCCATCAGCATGTGGCAGTGGTGGTGGTGGGAGTGGGGCTGCCAGCAGACAGAGGACTGGGGGCTGCAACAGGAGGGACTGGGTTATGATGCAGAGGATGGACCAAGTCCAGCCCCTGTGCTCACTGTAGCCTTGCAGCCCACAATTCCTCTCAAGGTGCACAAATTCGTGCACTGGGCCCCTAGTTCTTTGATAAGTGAGAATGTAGCATATTACAACTCAGTATTATCTATCATCTTATTCAATAACTAGAGGCCTGGTGCATGAATTCATGCACAGGTGGGGTCCAGCCAGCCCACCCTTATTGGGGGTGGGGCAATCAGAAGTAGGACCAGCCAGGGGAGGGACTGAGAGCTGTTGGCCAGCCAGCCCCACCCCCTGTTCAAACTTCCAGTCTAAGGGGCAATTTGCATATTGGCCTTTTATTATATCGGATCACATTCTACTTACCTGTTAAACTTATACTTCTTTAAAGCAAAGTAAGCAAATATATATTTAATGAGTCAAAATGTATTTCTAAATATTTAACTCATATGAGAATAGCTTATCTCAACATCTTAATTAGTCCCTATTTGTTCTTGCTTTCATTCAGCTCCAAGGTACAGATAATAATATTACAGTGACCATCATAACCAAATGACCAAAATTAACATCACCAGTCAAAACACAAATCAACATTGTATGTCTCCTAATGATGTGCTCTGGGAAGACCACAGCACCTCTTCTGTGGTACTCCTGCCAAAAAATATATGACCTGAACCTAACAATGAAGAAACATCAAACAAACCAAAACTGAGGGATAATCTAAAAAGTAACTTAAAAATAAAATCTATCTAGGTCATGAAATAGAAGGAAAGACAAAGGAATGGGTCCAAACTAAAGGAGTCAAAGAATCATGACAACTTAAATACAACACATGGTTGGAACGAATCCAGGATTTACAAGGGACATTAATGTGAAAAACAGTGAAATGTGAATCAATTCTGTGGATTAGATTCTAACACTGAATCAGTGTTCACTTCTGACTTTGATAGTTTTACTGTGGTTATATAGGACAAAGTTCTAGTACTTAGGAAATACAAAGAAAGAACATCATGTCTGCAACTTACTCTCAAATGGTTAAAAATGTCAAAGGAATTGAGCAAAAATATATAGGAGCTCTGTGTAATATTTCTGCTACTTTTGTGTAAATTTGAATGTCAAACTTGTTTATATTTTAATGAACAGTATTGTTATATGCAGTAATAGAGCTACTTTTCTAAAAATAGATTCCCACTCAGGTACATTCTGCCTTACCAGTGTAACAACTCACAAACATATATAATATGCACAAATTATCTCACACAACTAAATATCCTAAATAGTCTAAAGACAGAAACTATTATAGAGTAGGATTCACAAACAGAATAAATAAAATTAAGTCAGCTCTTAAGACAAATTTACAGATATACCTGCATGCCATAGCAAATTCCAAGAACAGGCTTGCCAATAGTGAATATTGCTGGATCAAACCAGGGAGCATCTTCTGCATACACAGAATTAGGTCCTCCAGAGATGATAATGGCACTGTGGATTTAAGCAAGAAAGTCAGTGGAGAATCTCTAACTGCTAACTTTTATACAAAGTCTACAGATTCAGCGAATTTATGTTTTTGGTACATTGTTAGTATCTAGATTCTATCACAACTAATTAATATCCTCCCAAAGAGCTTAATTATTCTTACTCTACTACAATGTGTGGAAGCCTCGAGTCAACATTTATTTGTTAATAAGCACAACTTCCAAATACATAAATGCCAATGTTTCTATCTATTAAGATGGCATAAATTTGTTTTGATTGTTTTCATTAAGGGGAGAAATAAGTGAGAATTCTAATAGATGGAGAACATACATGTCCTTCTGGGAGGCAAGGAGTAAAGCAGGTCACAAAAGGACAATTAAAGGTATGAAGGCTCTGGATGCCTCAGAGCAACATATTCTACAACACAGAATGGCAGGATGTGAAGAATTACCTAACTTGGCCTTTTCAAAACCTGTCCAATATTCCCAACAATTTTACTTGAGACCCAGGAAAAGGAGCTAGCATCACTTTTGCCCCATATGCCCTGCTCTCAGAATCGAGGTCAATATTATAACTTAGCTACACTGCAACTCACAAAGTATTCTATAGGTTAACTTAAGAATCAAACTAATTAATATAAATGAAGCTACAAACTGAGGCCCATATTCCTCATCAGGCCACTGACACATCAAATTTGACCGTTAGTATTCAATCAAAAAATTTAGAACATTTTATTACTATTAAGAATTTGACAGAAAATTCAGATTTCTGGATTTTATTTAAGAAAAAGAAGGGGAAAATCTGGCAAAACTAGGCCTTCACTCTCAGATGGCTACAAATAACGAATCACACAGAGTTGCACTATCATACTATCATACATATCATATATGCTGTCCAGTTTGCCATACATGCCCACTTACATACAACAGGCAAACTTAGGCCCTTTAATCAATTTAAGATATTCTCAGACTCATCTTAAATCTGAGTTTGCAGGAATCCCGATTTATCTATATTTCTAAAGGAAAATGCATTCCAAGATCTAACTAAAATCTACTTATAAATAAATCTGGATTATACAATTTATAATTAATGGCTGCCTGCCATGTAAAAACATACAAACTAAAATGCTAGGCTTGATATATCCAGAAGAATAATATACCAAAGTCAAGTCTATAAAAATTTCTCAGCAAGCTAGAGCCATTTAAAAAATATATATGTGTGTGTGTGTGTATATATATACATACATACATACATATATATATATTTTTTATTTTTTTTTTATTTTTTTTCATTTCAGAGAGGAAAGGAGAGGGGAGAGAGATAGAAACATCAATGATAAGAGAAAATCATTGATTGGCTGCCTCCTGCATACCCCCTCTACTGGGGATCGAGCCTGTAACCCAAGATATGTGCTCTTGACCGGAATCAAATCCAGAATCCTTCAGTCCACAGGCCGATGCTCTATCCACTGAGCCAAACCAGCTAGGGCTATTTTTTTTACTTATTAAGTTCATTGGAGAGACAGTGGTAACATTATTTAAGTTTCAGGTATACAATTCTACAATACATTATCTGCACATTGCATTGTATGCTCACCACCCAAAGTCTAATCTCTCTCTGTCACCATAAATTTGACCCTTTTACCTTCTTCATCCTTCCCCCACATCAAGCATTTTAAAAATATAAATTACAAGAATTTAAGTGAGCTCAAAAGCCCCACTTTTAGAACTTTGTATTAGTAACATGAATTATGTCATATATATTTTGTTAGCCCTTCTTTAGAATGAAATTGAAGACAAACTACTCATATGATAAATATAACATCTTTAAGACAACAATTCTAAAGGGGTGTGTTAGGTTAAACCTAATGGTAGATATGTAACCTGGCATCCTAAATATGCGGAAGCTAAAATTCTATAAAATATATTTAATATTCACAACCTCTTTAATTTCAGTATATTTCATTTTATAAAGGATAACCACTATATGACTGCTCAGCATCCGACATTAATTAATTAATAACTCAAGGCTCTATAAGAGTCATAATACTTAAAAAGGCAATGGTCTTAGCCAAGGATAAAAACTCAAGTAGTACTTACACCAATTATGAAAATTCTCATCTCAGTAAATCTTGAGAAAAGCTAATCACTCATTCTGAGTCTATTTCTATGCTTCTATTATTTTGAAACTAACTTACAATTACAAGGCCCAATAAGACATAAGGCATTCCAGATATCAATTTTATGTTATCAAGCAGATCAAGGTTCTACAAACAAGTAGGTTAAGATGTCTCTTGTCATAAAACTAACATTTATTAAAAAGGGGGGGGGGGTCAAATATTTATCTCAGTGGCAAAGGTTACAGTAATAAAACCCATAGTTCCTATTCTCCTACAAAGAAAAGAAGCTCTAGGCACAAACAAGACCTAGGAACTATTTATGATCAAGTGACAAGAAAAACAATTAAACTTCCATTACCAAATATTTATCTATCCTACCCTAAAACAATTAGTTTGCTGGGAATGTTTTGTTAGTTTCTTTTAGGTTGTGGAATGAAGAAGCTTGAATTTGACAAAGAGCTATTTGGATTTTTCACCATCTTTGATTCTCTTAAAATTGATTCTCGATGGCAAATGAAGACAGATTAAATAAATTCAAGAGTCCCTTCTTACTATAAAATTCTACAGTTTAGAAAACATAGCTGTTCCCAAACCACTGTGCTCAATTAATATTTGACAAAGGAGGCAAGAGCATACAATGGAGTAAAGACAGTCTCTTCAATAAATGGTGTTGGGAAAATTGGACAGATACATGCAAAAAAAATAAAACTAGACCACCAACTTATACCATATACAAAAATAAACTCAAGATGGATAAAGTACTTAAATGTAAGATGGGAAATCATAAAAATCCTACAAGACTCCATAGGCAGCAAAATAGCAGACATATGTCATGGCAATCTCTTCAGACACAGCTCCTAGGGCAGCGGTTCTCAACCAAGGAATGGGCAACTGACCTAAATAAATACTTTTCTAAAGAGGACATAAGGAAGGCCAAGAGTTATAGGAAAACATGCTCAAAGTCACTAATCATCCGAGAGATGCAAATCAAAATGACAATGAGGTACCATCTCACACCTGTCAGAATCATTATCATCAACAAATCAACAAATGACAAGTGCTGGTGAGGATACGGAGAAAAAGGAACCCTTGTGCACTGCTGGTGGGAATGCAGACTGGTGCAGCCACTGTGGATAACAATATGGAGTTTACTCAAAAAACTAAAAATGGAACTCCCAGTCGACCCAGTGATCCCACTTCTAGGAATATATCCCAAGAAATTAGAAACACCAATCAGAAAGAATATATGCACGCCTATGTTCATAGAAGCACAATTTATAATAGCTAAGATTTAAAAACAGCCTAAGTGCCCATCAGCAGATGAGTGGATGAAAAAACTGTGGTACCCTGGCTGGTTTGGCTCAGTGGATAGAACATTGACCTGCAGACTGAAGGGTCCCAGGTCCAATTCCAGTCAAGGGCACATGCCTGGGCTCGATCTCCAGTAGGGGGCGTGCAGGAGGCAGCCAATCAATGATTCTCTCTCATCACTGATGTTTCTATCTCTTTCTCCCCTCTCCTTTCCTCTCTGAAATCAATAAAAATATATTTTTTAAAATATTTAAAAGAGCTGAAATCGGTTTGGCTCAGTTGATAGAGCGTCGGCCGGTGGACTTAAGGGTCCCAAGTTCGATTCTGGTCAAGGGCATGTACCTTGGTTGCGGGCACATCTCCAGTAAGGGGTGTGCAAGAGGCAGCTGATTGATCATTCTCTCTCATCGATGTTTCTAACTCTCTATCCTTCTCTCTTCCTCTCTGTAAAAAATCAATAAAATATATTTTTAAAAATATTTAAAAGAAAAAACTGTGGAACATCTACACAATGGAATACTATGCTGCTGTAAAAAGGAAGAAACTCCTACCATTTGCAACAGCATGGATGGACCTGGAGAGCGTTATGCTAAGCAAAATAAGTCAGTTGGAGAAAAATAAATAACACATGATATTTGAAGAATATAATGAACAACATAAACTGTTGAACAAAAACAGATCTAGACACAGAGAAGCATCAATCAGACCATCAAACCTCAAGAGGGAAGACAGGGGAGTGTGGGGGTAAGTGGGAGAGAACCACCAAAGGACTTGTATGCATGCATATAAGCATAACACAGACACGGGGGGAAAGGGGGGGACACGAGCAGGGGTTAGGGGAGCAATGGGGGGATAGGGACACAGATGTAATACCTTAATCAATAAACAAAGTTAAAAAAAAAAAATAGCTGTTTTAACCTGCATCTGAAGATTAGTACAGAGTTAAGTAAACCTGCCTTTTCAGATTTCCAATTCAGTGTAATTCAGAAACAGGAATCACAGGATAATGTATACATGTCTATGAAGGCGAATGTTTTGCTCTTTAAATAGTTATGTTTTTAAGAAAAAAATAATTTTTGAAAGCAACATAGCATTAACATTTAAGGATATAAATTGCAGTTGCTTAGTTCTGGATAAGAAAAAATATTAGCTTAATGCAAAGGTGGGAACCTTTCTTCTGCCAAGGGCCGTTTGGATATTTATATCATCATTCATGGTCCACACAAAATTATCAACTTAAAAATAAGCCTGCTATATTTAGTCAAACATTTAATTAACTCACCCCGAATGCATTGTCAGGGCCAGAGTAAATGATTTTTCAGACCTTATATGGCCTGGTCAGACATTTCCCAACCCTTTAATGAGAAAAGGCATAAAATTAAACAGAAATAGCTGTTTAAGGAAGAAACATATTGTATGTGTGTTTGTTTGCTATCATTTGAACTAGCTGTAAAAGTATAAGCTATGGAATTAGCCCTTATATTAGACTTAAGAAATCTTCATCTTTTAGAAATTATTTTCTTGGCATAGGAAGCAAAATTCTGTGCACAGAACTCTTCTCATTTAAGTACTCTAGCCACTGTATATATTCCTTTGATGAAATGCTCTGGGATCAATGAATGAATGACCACAATAGCCTTACATAGTCTAACCCAGTAATCTTATAAAACACTAGAGGCCCAGTGCACAAATTCATGTGGAAGGGGGAGGGGTTGCAGGCAGTTGGCGGGCCACCCAGTCCCCTCCCCTGGTCGAACTTCTGGTCAAGGAAAGAACAATTTGCATATTAGCCTTTTATTACATAGGGGGATAAAACCTGCCCTAGCTGGTTTGGCTCAGTGAATAGAGAGTCGGCCTGCGGACTGAAGGGTCCCAGGTTCAATTTCAGTCAAGGACACATGCCTGGCTTGTGGGCTCAATCCCCGACCCCCAGTAGTGGACATGCAGGAGGCAGCCAATCAATGTTTCTCTCACATCATTGATGTTTCTATCTCTCTCTCTCCTCTCCCTTCCTCTTTAAAATCAATAAAAATATATTTTAAAAAATAAATAAATAAATATAATGCAAGTCCTCATGACTATGCAATTAAAATTAAGGTAATCTTTTTAACTGAAAAACTTAAATATTTCCTTTTTTTTTTAAATCAGAACCATGGGAAACTTCTTGTAAAACCATTCCATATCATATTTACTTTTAAAACAACACAGTGCCCAAGCAAGTTAATAATAAAATACCCTAAAATGTAAGCTCAATATCCTCAGAAAAACACAAGAAAAAAGTTTACCGGAATCCATGCTCTTTTATAGCAAATGCTGGTGTTTCCAATGGGAAGAGTTCCGACTGCACGAACAGTTCCCTCACTCTTCGATCTATGACTTTCCCGTACTGAGCACCCGCATCCAGAATGACCACGGCTCCTTCATAGTGGTGGCAGCCATCCTTAATGTCTCCTCCAGCATTCTCCAGCTGCAAATATTAATACAAACGTCTACTTTAAGAAACAGTTGTCATGGTCAGCTCCAAAAATACACAGAAACAAAAACTGTTAACTTAGAATTTTCTAAGTTGCCAATTCAAAACATTTCTTTTAAAGTAAAGATTTTCATAAATATCCATATACTAGCATACATACTTTAATAAAATCTACCCTTTACTGGCTATATGATATAGTCACTTTATATATATAGTGCATCCTACATTATTATCTAATAATATGGTATGCATACAATCCAGTCATGCCAAAATATAGTCCTGATTTATGTCTGTTATACTGATATTATTAATAATGCCTCTTTCAAATCTCAAAAGCATCCAACTGGACAATAAATTATATGGTGAGCCTACCTAGTACTCATGGCTTTCCTATGATGGATGTACTGATGAGAAACTGTAAAATTTGATGCCAGAGTATAAGTATGCCCAAATTTACTTTATTAGGAAAATGATATATAAGCATTTAACCCATAACGTAAAATAAACTGTGTGCTGAAATATATTTTCCTGGAACTGAGTACAAAAGAATGAAAGTGTAGGTGTGTATGGATAAAACATGACTGCTTATGTACTGAAATCAGTCAGGTTACAATGCCCTGGCCAAGAAACTCAGTTGGCTGAAGCATCGTCCTGTACACTAAAAGGTTGTGGATTGGATTCCCAGTCAGGGCACATACCTAAATCTAGGTTGCGGGATAGATCCCCAGTCGGAGCACAGATAGGAAGCAACCGATGTTTCTCTCACACTGATGTCTCTCTCTCCCTCTTTCTCTCTCTCAAGTCAATAAAAACATATTCTTGGGTGAAGACTAAAAATAAAAAAAAAAGTGAGTGATAGGTACATTCATTTTAGTCTAGTCTCTATGCTATTCTGAATATTCTAACTTATGAAAAAGCTTTTAAATGTGTATATATACTGGAAATCCACTTGGAGGAAGCATCTAGACTGTGGTTCCATTTTTTAAATATTTTGTGTAAAACACAATGTGTGCATGTATGAAAAAAAGTCTAAACAGATATACACCAAAGTATTAATAGAGGTTATATCTGATAGCACTTCAGGAGATCTTAAATTTTTCTCTCTATATTCTTTGGTATGTTCTAAATGTATACAATAAACATATTTTGAGGTTTTTCGCCCCTCCAGTTGTAAAATTTGCACATAACAAAAAAGTGTCAGTCTTTTTTGCTCTTTTATAACCCTTTCCCTTTACATGAAAAAATAAATACAGATCTCATAATACCACTAACACTTCTGCTACAGTAATGAAAAAAGCAATGATCACCACCATCTACCGAGGAGGATTTGCAAACAGACCAATCACTTGCCAAAAAAAATTACTTAGACCTTAAATATGGTTTTAATTAGGAATACTGAGCAATGTAGAAAAATCAGGTCACAGAAAGCAGCAGTTTACAGAATATATTAGTGCAAGAAATACTAAAACTTTTTTTCCTTCCAGACCTTGTCCTTCATCGTAATGTATATGCTTGTGTGCACGCGCGAAAATACACACACACACACACACACACACACATATCCCTGATGGTTATAAAACATAAAGGTCCTTGAAATAAAAATAATTCACCTGGTTCTCTTTAAAATTCAAGTTGAAAAAAAAAAACTAGGAAGAAAGTGTATGTTCTATATTCCTGAGACAGAGAAAGTATTTGGAAACTGAATCTTGAACTTTCTTTGTTAACCTAATTTTGTAAAAAAAGGCTCTTCTGAAATCACCACATACTTTGCAAAGTTAGGTTTGAGTCCTCCTAGTAACAGTCATTTCCTCTACCAGGACAAAGCTGAATCTTGCCAATGAGTTGTAAGGCTCAAAATAAGAGAACATAAAATGCTCTGTTAACTAGTGCACAGGAAAGAGCTGTCTGTACGTTGAGGTTTCATTCTAAGGTCAGAAACGAAGAGTCTGAATATCTTCATCTATTTAATCCTGAGAAAGAGCCCTAACGAGACTGAGCATCAGTTAAAAGAGTATATGTATCCGCTACTTGACAATCCTGATCCATCTGTTCAACCAACACTAAATGAATGCTTCCTGAGTACTAGGCAAGCATTCACGAAGAAGACCCACTCAAGTGTGACACTTGGGCATCGTCACCTGTGCCAGAGCACCCTGCCTGGATAAGGCATTACCCCTGCCTCACCACCACTGGCGTTTGACGTTTACAACCCCACACACACACACCTGAATGAAATGGGATGGAGTGATTGCCTAACGCCGGGCCCTCAGCAGCGTGCAGGGGTGGGGTGCACCACACCAACTGCTCCAGGAAATGGCAATTCAAAACCACGCCGTCCCCCCCGCGGATGAGACGGACCCGGGGAGGGTCCGAGAGACAATTCCAGGCCAACTTAAACGGCCACACAAGAAATGAAAGCCAAGGTGCTCCATCGGGAAGCGAGACGGAGGAGGAAGGGTCTGAACAAGAGTCAGCGGGAGGTGGCCAGGAGCGCCGCGGGGCTCAAACGTGCAACTTTCCCGGCTCCGGGGACTCCCCGCACCCCTGGGCCCGCTCCCCGCGGCGGCGGGAGCACGTCCGGCAGCAGAGGAACCTGTAACTCAGGGCGCGCGCCGGCGGGGCGGGCGGGGCTGGAGCCGCTCCATCCCCCGGCTGGGAGGGTGGGGGAGGGGAGCGGGGAGCGCGCCCCTCGGGCCACCCGTCGGACCCCATGCGGGGGGGAGGGGGGGGGGGTAGGGGCAGCAGTCGCACGGCTTGCCCGCAGGCTGGCCCCGCCGCCGCCGCGGACCCCGAGGCCAGCGTGGGGGGACGGGACGGGACGGGCCCCACCGAGGGCCGGCGGGAAACCGGGTGGCGGGAAGGCGAGGGGACGGCCCAGCTGGATCCCCGCACCGCGAGGCCCATGCGGGCCCCGGGAGCTCCACAAAGGCCCCCATCCTCCCGAAAGGACGGGATGAGAGCTTAGGAAGACAGACAAACAGACACACACATACACACACACACACACACGCACACGCACAGGCACACACACGCCCGCCTCCCTACCCCCCACCCTCGGACCGCGCTCCGCGGACTCGGCGCCCCACAGAGACGCGGGGAGGCCGGGCCGGCGGGGCGGCCGCGGGGAGGTGGGGGTGAGGGAGAGGCTGACGCCCTCCCCGACGCCCGGAGCCCAGCGAGCGCAGGAACCCGGACACCGCTCATCAACAGACAACATCAACAAAGCACCTGCCCCTCTGGAGGAGGCAGCACGCCACAGGCCCCGGCCGTGCCTCCCCGACGCGCCGCGCCGCTGCCCCGGCCGTGGGGCTGCGCGAACGGGTTTGGGGTGAGGGGGCGCCCAAGGGCCCCGCTGCGTTAGCTTCGCGGCCCCCCCGGGTCTCGCCTTCGTCCGGAGGCGGGGAGGCAGGGACCCCCCGCCACACACTGACCTTGGAGTCTCCGTTGCACAGAGCCATCGGGGCCGGGGCCGCGGCGGCCAGAGAAACGAGACGACGGGGCGGGAGAGGGCCGGCCGGGTGGACGCCACGGGCCGCGACGGAGAGAGAGAGGCCTGGTGGGTGAGCGGGAGGTCGCGGAGGGAAACTGGCCGCCGGCGAAGCGCCGAATCCAGCAGCGGCTGCGGCGGAGCGCGGGCCCCAGCGCCGGGGGAGCAGAGACCGGCAGCGAACACGCTACCCCGCCTCCTGCTTCCGCCCCTGCCGGCCGCTGGGAGGAGCCAGAGCCCGTTCGGCTGGGCCGCCGAGGTGTGGGCAGCCCCCCCCAAGCTCCGCGGCTAAAAACAGCGGCTTCCAGAGGCGGGGCTTTCAGCCGCGGACCCCTCCTCCGGGATCCGCAGGGCCGCAGAGGCCTGCGCTGCGGGAGAATAAACCCGCCTGGTCCCCGGCCTGCCCGCCCATGGGGGCGGGGCCTGAGGTGCACGGTTCCGCCCCGACCCCAAGCCCCGCCCCCTCGGGGAGGAACCTGTTCCGCTTGCGTCTGGCCCGCCCCCCTGGGAGGAGGAGCCCGCGGCTTCCGGAAGGCTCCGCCCCTCCCGCCTCCCGCACTGGGCAGCCGGCCCTAGGAGAAGGGGTCCGAGGCGCCCCCCCACCACACACACACATACACACACATACATATTGTACATACACACACCCCGCCGTGAAGGCCCGCTCCCAAGCAAAGCCCAAACCGCCGCCGCCACCTTGCTGTTCTCTCGCCTCTCTGCAGCCTCGGACCCTGGCGGAGACCCTGGCGCCGCCGGAGAGTTGGGAGATCTTAGAGAGGTGGGCCCGCGGTGCGCGACCTCATCTCAAGTTTGGGGAACCTGCAGGAGGCCACGGCTGCTTGGAAGGATTCTCGCGGTGACGTCTCAAGGGACGTCCAAGTGTGATCTGATCACTGACGTCCCTCGAAAGTTCCACAACGCGGGTGCGGGCAGAATTTCCAAAAGGGAAGGGAGGTTCGGGAGCGGCTGGACCTGGGGGCCAGCCAGGAGCTTAGTTTGCACAGCAAACAGTGTTTTCATTTCCATTGCTTGTGGGGAACGAACGGGCTTCAGACCTTCCAACTACTCTTTGACGCCCGTCAAGATGAGAGGTGGTTATGAATTTGGGCACCTGACAGGCTACATTCGGGTTGGGGAATAAACAATAAATAAACATGTGGAAACGGCTTCCAGTTAGCAAAGCTTTTTTATTTTCCTCTTTATTACTGAAAGTATGACTTATGTCCCTATTTTCTCCCCTTGACCTCTCCAGTCTGCCCCGTCCCCGCCCCAGGCCTTCACCAGCAAAGCTTTTGAGTAGATACTCGGTTACAGAAAACCAAATTTGCTGAGCTCATGCTATGTCAGGCTCCAGTCCAGATATTAAGGAGCCCAAGTGAGACAACCCTGATCTCCAGAAACTCATGTCCTTCTAACCACCCCATGAAGTGAGTGAGGCAGGATTGCTGTTCTTCTCCACTTTTTAACTAATGAGAAGTTGAGGCTCAGGGAGATAGGTGCCTCTTTGCTCTCCGTGTAGGATAACTGGCACCTGACATGGGAAAGTTTAGTAGAACAATATTTACAACAACAAAGAGCCCCAAACCCCAGTGGGCCTCTGAATCAACGAAAGGAATTCACTTACCCATTTTTAAGGGGGTAAAAAAAATGGATACTTGAACTTTCTAAGGCCATATATACTGGATTCTCTTGGTAGGTCTGTATGAATAATCCAGAGAACAATGTAGTAACCAATAATAACCAATATATTCTAGTGGCCACTTACGGTTATGGCTAAGAATATTGACATGCACCAGAATCCTAATATCTTATGTTCTTCTTCTGCACCTTTGGCTTCATTGACCCACCCCCCTCGCCCTTTCTTGAAACTGGGTTTTCCTTACAATACAGCGTCGAGGTGTCTTTTCACTTCCAGGCTTTTTCTTGGTCACCTTTTCTTGCCCTTCCTCTATCTGTCCTACAGGAGAAGGCTGAAGTGTTGGTTTCTTCAGGATTTCCATTTCTAACCCTTTTCTCATCTGTCTCTTCACCTGTTTCCCTGGGGCACTTATTTTAAAAATATAGACCTGCTTAAAATTTCCCTTAATAAACTATGTTTTGACAGCTCTCTTCTGAGCTCCCGATCTGATCCATATCACTCTACACATCCCCAGGCATAATGGGCCCCAAACTCAACAAGTCCAAAACAGAAGTTCCCAAATTTCTGTGCCAAGTCTCACTGGCACTGTGATATTAGAAGGAAACATTTAGCCAAAACCGGTTTGGCTCAGTGGTAGAGCGTCGGTCTGCAAACTGAAAGGTCCCAGGTTCGATTCTGGTCAGGGGCATGTACTTTGGTTGCGGGCACATCCCTGGTAAGGGGTGTGCAAGAGGCAGCTGGTCGATGTTTCTCTCTCATTGATGTTTCTAGCTCTCTATCTCTCTCCCTTCCTCTTTGTAAAAAAATCAATAAAATATATATTTTTTTTTTAAAAAGAAGGAAACATTTAGTCTTTCACCCAGAAACTACAGGTTTTCATAGGTACCCTTTGTCAAATTGAAAAAGTTCCCTTTTATTCCAATTTAGCTTAGAATTTTTATCTTGAATGACTTTGAAGAATACTTTCTCTGTGTCTCTTGAGATAATCATATGATTTTGATTTTTTCAATTTATTGTGGTAAATTACATTGATTTTGAAATGTTAAATCAGCCCTGCATTCTTGGGAAAAATTTAAAGTACTATTTTGGATTGGATTTGGTAAAATTTTGATTTCCAATCTTTGCATCTATGTTCATGAGGAATATCAGTTTGTAGTTGTATTGTAATATCTTTGATTAGTTTCGGTATCTGGGTTATGCTGGACTCAAAGAATAAAGTTGAGACTTTTTGTAGAATTACTTCTAGAAGAGTTCCTTAAATTTTTGGTAGACTTCACCAATAAGGCCATCTGAGCCTGCAGTGTTTGTAATTATATATATATATTTCAGAGAGGAATGGAGAGGGAGAGAGAGAGAGAGAGAGAGAAAGACATCAATAATGAGAGTCATTGATCGGCTGCGTCCTGCATACTCCACATTGGGGATTGAGCCTACAACCCTGAGCATGTGCCCTGACCTGGAAACCATGACCTCCTAGTTCATAGGTTGATGCTCAATCTCTGAGCCATGCCGGATGGACTATAATAAGGTTTTTAACAAAAATTCAATTTTAAAAATTAGATATAAGGCTCTTTATATATGTATGTGTGTATATACCTATGTGTTCTTTTTTTTTTCATTTTTTATTAAGGTATTATATGTGTACATATCTTACCATTGCCCTCCCCCCATATATGCCCTCCCTCCCCAGAGTTTTGTGTCCATTGGTTATGCTTATATGCATGCATACAAGTCCTTCAGTTGATCTCTTATCTTTCCCACCTCTCCCTAACCTTCCCGCTGTAATTTGACGGTCTGCTTGTTGCTTTACTGTCTCTGTATCTATCTTTTTGGTCATCAGTTTATAATGCTCTTTATTATCCATAAATGAGTGAGATCATGTGGTGTTTTTCTTCCTATGTGTTCTTTAAGATATCTTTTTTTTTTTTTTTTAGCTTTGGCAATATGTGTCTTTCAAGTAATTTCAGCTTCATCTAAGTTGTCAAATTCATATGCATAATGTTATTCATAATATTTGCTTTTTATCTTTTAAATATATACAATCTGTAGTGATGTCAACTTCCTCATTCCTGATATTGGTGATTTGTGTTTGCTCTATTTTTTTCTCATCAGTATGGCCAGAAGTTTACCAATTTTATTGATTCTCTTAAAAAAAAAAAAAAAGCTTAGTTTCACTTATTTTCTTTATTGTTTTTCTGCATTCTACTACATTAATTTCTACTTTCACCTTTATTATGCCCTTTTTTCTGCTTGCTTTAATTTGTTCTTTTTCTAGTTTAAGTTGGAATCTGAGATCATTGATTTGACACCTTCTTCTTTTCTACTATACGTATTTACCTCTATATATTTATCCCTAAGCAGGGCTTTAGTAATATCCCACAAATTCTTATATATCATTTTCATTCATTTCTAAATAGTGTCTAAATTTTTTAAAAATGTCTTCTTTGATCTATGGGTTATCTAAAAGCATGTTATTGAGTATAAAAATATTTGAAGCTTTTCCAGAGAACTTTCTGTTATTGATTTCTAATTTAATTCCATTTTAGTCAGAGAAAATATTGTGTATGACTTAATTTTTTTAAAGTTTGATAAGATTTGGTTTTATGGCTTAGAATATAGTCTATCTCAGTGAATGTTCTGCCATTGTTTTGTGGAGTGTTCTATAAAGGCACATAGGTTAAGGTGATAGTATTGTTCAAGACTATTATATTCTTGCTGATTTTCTGTTCAGTGGTTTATCAGGAATTGGGAGAATCACTATAATTGTAATTTTATCATTTCTCCTTATAGGTCTATCAGTTTTGCTTTATCTATTTTGAAGCTCTGTTAATAGGGCCATATATTTTAGAATTGTTGTAGATCAATTTATAATTAGGAAATGGCATTCTTTATTCCTGGTAATGGAAAAAAGAATAGGAAAAAGCTAGGAAAATTCCTGGGCAAGTAGATAGGGGAAACTGAGACAAGAAAATTAAATAAGACCAAACAATTTGAATAAATTACAGCCAGCTAGTGGATGGCAAGACCTTATCTTCCTTAACCAAGGACACTTGAGAGCAAATGGTTTATACCTGTCCTCCCTAACCAGAGAATACATAGTTTCAATCACCCTGGTCAGGGAAAATAGAGAACAGAGACCCAATTAATGCCATTTGTACCAGCCAAACTCAAGGACAGTGGAAGTCAGGGGAACAAATAACAAAAACCACAGTAAAGCCAGACATATGGAAGATAAAAGTCCAACAGTAAAGCAGACTAAAGAGTAATCCCAAACTCCCCTATAGGCTCATTTTGATTCATCAGCATATTGAAAACACACTTGGAAAGCTAATGAATATTCAATTAAAACCCTCCCCTAAAAGTCTTGCCCTCAGGAGAAAGATAAAAACCCTCAAGACAAAAATCTGGTGCAGGCTCACTCTAGAGAACTCCCATGCCCATCTGGAGCATGAACTTTTTACTTCCTCCTAAACTCTAAGGGTTCCCAGGAGACTTTCAGCCAGGGGAGCATCGAATAGCAGCAGCTTGTCCTGGGCTTACCCCCGATCCTATCTCCAAGGCCCTCTTTTTCTCTGACTCTCCAGTGAGATAAAAGCAGCCCTACCTTGGTTCACATTTTTCCTATAATGCTTCTAGGGAGCCAAAACAGAACACAGGCTTTCTCCTGCTGCTTCTTCTACACTAAGTCCTTCTTTTGTTTCACTGTCTACTCTACAGCTTTAATAAGTGTACTCTCAAAATCACCCAGAATCTTATTGTGAAACGAAATTTTTACACTTGAGGTGGGGAGAGGGGGGTACCGTAGCCCAGATTTCTAGGGTGCAGGCCAGGCCAAGGTAACCCACCAGTGCATGATCAGGACTGGGGAGGGACGTGGGAGGGCTCCGGGGCATGTCTGGCCCATCTTGCTTAGCTGGACTCCAGCAGCAAGCTAACGTACCAGTCAGAGTGTCTGTCCCCTGGTGGTCAGTGCACATCATAGTGAGCGGTTGAGCAGCGTTAGCAGATAGATATTTCCAGTTTTTCTGTGTATCATATTATTGACTGTTTAATACAGGCATAATCTGTGGTCATTTCATTTCATCTTTCAAAATGTTTACTATTTTAAATCTCTCATTAACAAAAAAAAATAACTTTTAAACATATGAAAAATATTAGATGTCAACTTAAAATGTGGAAGTACATAGTGTTTTAAAATTCTTTTCGGATGGTATGTGAGTTTTTTATTTCATTTTTTATTTATTTATTTTTTAATATACTTTATTAATTTTTTACAGAGAGCAAGGGAGCTAGAAACATCGATGAGAAACATCAACCAACCACCTCCTGCACACCCCCTACTGGGGATGCGCCCACAACCATGCCCCTGACTTGAATCGAACCTGGGACCCATCAGTCCGCAGACCAATGCTCTATCCACTGAGCCAAACTGGTTTCAGCTGGTATGTGAGTTTTTTAAAAAAATTGTAAACAACTGTTCAAAAATAAAATTTAATCATGTGACCCTTATTAATAGCTTTCCATTGCTATCAGGATAAACTAAGTTCTACTGTATTTGCTTAGTACTTGGAGATTTGGCCAGCCCCTGTTTATCTTGTAGCCTGATCTTTTACCACGTCCCCCATCACTTTACACTGTATCTATATTAAACTGCTTTATTTCCTTAAACATGAAATGTTTTCTCTTGCTTTGGGCCTTCTGGACCTAAATATCTTCTGTCTAGAGTAGTTCTGCTCTCCTCCCCACAACTCTGCAGTCCTGGGATAGATGTATCTTTCTCTTTTGTGCTCCCACAACCCTTTTCCCTTCACTAGTACTCACCACCCTCCACTATGTTTACTGTTCACTTGTCTCTGTCCACAGAAAGTCCTGGATGCAGTATCATCCCAGTAGCAATGAGCAAACATAGCACCCAGATACTGGTTTTTACATACTATTCTCCAGTAATAAGAACCAGGGTTTTCTGGAGAAATGGCCGATTTTAAAACCGAGGCAATGATAAATAAGCAGAAACATTTTGTGTGTGTGTTTGTGTGTGCCAGAAAGTAAAGAAGTACCCAGAGAATAATAGGAACATGTCAGAGGGACACAGAAGTCAGTTAGAGAAGGCTTTTACTGGCCAAATATGGGACAGGTAGTGATGGTACACACACACACACACACACACACACACACACACACGCACACACACTTTCATAAGAAAATGCCAAACTGTATTCCAAAGGGGCTGAGTCAGTTGTCAGTTTATATTCCCACCAGCAGGGTATGAGAGTTTCAGGTGCTCCACCTCCTTGCTAACATATATCTTCAATCTTCATTGTAGCCTTTAAGTGGGTGTGTGATGGTATCTCACTGATATTGACTAATGATCCTTTCATGTGCTTGTATGTGATCCATATCTCTGCTGAGATGTCTCTTCAAATATTTTGCTCATTTTTTCTGGGTTGTTTGTTTTATTATTGAGTTACTAGAGGCCTGGTGCATGAAATTCATTCATGGTAGGGTTCCTAGGCCTGGCTGGCGATCAGGACCAATCTGTGGGGTGACCACAGGGCAATTGGGGGGCCCTGCTGGCACCTTCCTTGGCCTGTCTGGCACTGCCCACTTGCCAGCCTTGCCCCCTGCTGCCACCACTAGTTGCCTCCCACAGAGGGAGGCGACCAGTGGGGCAATCAGGGGTCCCTGCTGGCACCCACCTTCATTGGCTTGGGGTCTGAAGGCTGGGGGCAGCTCCTGCATTGAGTGTCTTCCCCCTGGTGGTCGGTGAGCATCATAGCAACTGGTTGTTCCAGTGGTCATTCTGCCATTCGGTCAATTTGCATATTAGGCTTTTGTTATATAGAATAAGAGTTCTTTATATCGATATATTCTGGATTCAAGTCCTTTATTAGGTTATAACCAGAATGTTGTAATTGGATCCCTAATAAGAACAACAATAATGCTAATAAAGGTACTCACAGGCATGTCTCTTCTGGCATTAGCACCTAAAATCACATCTGGTCACTCCTTTACAGCCTTAGTCTTCAGGCTTCTGCTTCCTCCTGGGAAATGACCACCCTTGAAGACATTCAGCTGTAAAACAGACCAGTTTTATCAACAATAAAAGTACTACCTACTGGAAGCATTCTTTATCAATGAAAAATAAATAAAATGTTTTAATCTGGAAAAAAATAATAATGGTAAACAGATATCTGCTGATTAAGTTAGGAATCCATCATTGTATCCTATATAATAAAAGGTTAACATGCAAATTGACCCTCATGGGGGAACCACCAGGAACAACCGGCTACTATAGTGCGCACTGACCACCAGTAGCCAGCTCCTGCATTGAGCATCTGTCCCCTGGTTGTCAGTGTGCTCCCATGGGTTGCAAGCTTGATCCTTAGTAGGGGGTGTGCAGAGAGCAGCCAATTGGTGATTATTTCTCATCATTGATGTTTCTATCTCTCTTCCTTCCCACTTACTCTCTGAAATTAATAAAAATATATTTTAAAAAAAGAAAAAAAATGAATGATTAAAATGGGGAGAAACTCCTTATAATAGAATATCAACTAATAAAAGTAAAATAATAATTGACTTAGAAAATCATTATTTTGCAACCATCACAGAAATAATAATAATTTCAGACAAGAAACATTAATGGTTGGTAAAACTCATTAATGAAAGCTGGATCAAGAATAAGTTTTATTTACATTGTCCCAAAGTCTCTCCCTACAAAATAATCATCAATTATTCAAGGAAAAAGAGTAACTTTACGGTGGAGAAACCTGAAGATACCTCCTTATTCTAGTGATCAAAGTTAACATCAACAGCAGTGGAACAAATTAACATCATGAGTCATCTGATGAATACAGTGAGATGAACTCAGTATTACTTCCTAAAATGTGTAACCTGACTGTAAGCAGGCATTAGGCAAACCCAAATGGAGGCACATTCCACAAAATAACAGGCCTGTATTTTTTCCAGTTACCCATTTCTTTGTAACAAACACCCTAAAACCTACCTGCTTAAAACAATGCTTTATTTTACTATAATTTGGACAAGGGGCAGCTCTTCTCTGCCCTAATGTACATGTGTTACAGCCCAGAGCCTGGCTATACTAGGCCTCAGCTCAAGTGGCTCAAAGGCTGGAAGCAAGAATCATTGGAAGGCTTTCCCACTTCACATCTCTGACACCTGAGCTGGGAGACTCAAGCAGCTGAGGGCTTCAAAAGTAATGGCCCATCTGGCATCTCTGCCTCTATATAGCCTCTTCATCACCAGTTTCAGAATAACAAGATTGCCTATATGGAGCTAAAGATTCTGAGGGAGCCAAGACTGGTTTGGCTCAGCGTTGGTCTGTGGACTGAAAGATCCCAAGTTCGATTCCAGTCAAGGGCCTGTACCTTGGTTGCGGGCACATCCCCAGTGTGCAAGAGGCAGCTGATTGATGTTTTTAACTCTCTATCCCTCTCTTCCTCTCTGTAAAAAAAAAAAAAAAAAAAAATAATAATAATAATAATTAATAAAATAAAATATATATATATATATATTTTTTAAAAAGATTCCACAGGAGAGGGGAAAAAAAAGAAAATAAGTGGGGGCACTAGTGGTAGACGGAAAGAGGAGAATTAACAATCAGGGTGACAATGTGGATAAATCCCAATGTATTATGCTCACTGAAAGAAGCCAGACCCAAAAGGTTATATAGTGTGTTACTTCATTTATATAACATTTCAGAAAAGGCATAACTATATATGTCCAGGGTCGGGGGTGGGGTAGGTGGGGGTGGGGGGGTGGAGAGACTGACTTCAAAGGAATACAAGGGCATTGTTCTGAATAATGAAACTTCCATACCTTGATTGTGGCCGTGGTTATTAATCTATCTGTTGGGTTTGTATTTGCCAAAACTCATAGAACTATACACTAAAATTTAACTTACCGTAGTATAAAATTTTACTTGTATGTAAATTATACTTCAATAAACATGACCGTCCTCCCCCACCACCACCACCAAAGCAGTTAAAAATTCTGAGGAATATATAGAAGATATAATTCAGATAATAGTGAACTGAAAACCCAGTCAAGAAATATACAACCACACATAGATTTAGGAAGGGGCCACTAGATGGTGGTATTAATTTTTGTAATACAGCCCAGGGAAAATCTTAAAGCTCAGAGATCACAGACTTGGAAGTGGAGCACTTTGGGGGAAAGTTTCCTGTAAATCCATAGCTGTAACTTCTGATAGCAAGCCTTGAGCTGCATTGGTTTCTGTCATTTTGCTACACCAAGTCTCCCACTCTCCCACTGATTCTGGGAAGCCATCAATATCCTTCCAGTAAAATTTATTTTTCTGTAGTTCACTTTTTGTTGTTGTGGTGGTTTTTTCTGAAACAGACTGAATAACAAAACTAAAGATGGCTGTTGACCAATTTATTTTTTGTTTGTTTTGTTTTGTTCTTATTTTTCACTGGAGGCCCAATGCATGAAATTTGTGCCTCAGCCCAGCTTGCACCCTCTTGAAGTCCGGGACTATTCAAGGATCAGACCTAACTTGGCAGTCAAACATCCTCTCACAATCCAGGACCGCTGGTCCCTAACCGCTCACCTGCCTGGCCTGCCCTATCACCCCTAACCATTCTGCCTGCCTGCCTGATCACCCCTAACAGTCTCTGCCTTGGACCTTGCCACCACGGCTTCGTCTGGAAGGACATCAGAATGATGTCCAAAAGGCTATTCAGCTGTCTGGTCTAATTAGCATGTTATACTTTTATTATTTTAGGTAATAGAGAATTTTGAAATGTACAAAATAAACAGAATCTATATATATATATAAAGCCCAGTGATCCGAATAGCAAACAACCAGAACAACTGGTTTCTATGTTGCACACTGTCACAGCCAACCAGCCTGATCTGGGCCCCTGTTGCCCACCCCAGGCTGGCCCTGCCCCTATCAGCTCCTAACCCCAATCTGCCCCCAACATCCTGATGGGGAGGCAGGGCCAGCTAGCCAATTGCTCACAGCCCCTCTCCCCAACTGGCCCGGCCCAATGGGCCCCCATCAGGACAGGCCGACTGGACCCCACCCATCCACAAATTTGTGCACCAAGCCTCTAGTGCAGGGGTAGGCAAACTCATTAGTCAACAGAGCCAAATATCAACAGTACAACGATTGAAATTTGAGAGCCAAAAACTGACTTCTACACATGAGCCACGAAGTTTCAATCACACTATACATGTGCACCAGCACGTGGTATTTTGTGGAAGATCCACACTCAAGGGGCCAAAGAGCCTCATGTGGCTCTTGAGCTGCAGTTTGCCAACCACTGCTCTAGTGGTATAATCAACTCCCAATATCAGCAAACATCAATAATCATTGATCTGCTTTCCTTCCTTCCTTTCCTTTCCTTTCCTTTCCTTTCCTTTCCTTTCCTTTCCTTTCCTTTCCTTTCCTTTCCTT